CCTCCCTCCCTTTCTTCCTTCCTTCCTTCCTTCCTTCCTTCCTTCCCAGTACCTCATGCATGCTAGGCAAGCACTCTACCACTGAGCTATATCCCTAGACCTTTCTATTTATTTTGAGACAGGGTCTCATTAAGTTGCCCAGGCTAGCCCAGGAACTTGAGGTTATCCTGCCTGAGCCTCCCAAGTAGCTGGGTCTACAGGTGTGTACCCCCATGCCCAGCATATCCAATTTTAAAATGTGTTTCTATTAAGTTGTACATATCAGTATATTTTACTCCTCAGTACTTCAGCATGCATATCATTAACTCTAGAATTCAGTATTTGCTTAACAATTTTGGGTGAAGTTTACATAGAAGGACAAGTACAAGTGTCACATGTACTGTTTTGATGAATTTTAATAAATGTAAACTCTGATAAATCCTTATTAAGACATAGAATATTACCATCACTTCAAAAAATTGTCTCAAGCTCCCTTTTGAGGCAATCAGTATTCCATATTTTTTCCCTACTGTAAATTCGTTTTCCCTGGTCTAAAACTTATTATAAATAGAATTAGTTCAAACTCTTTTGAGTAGGGGGCTTTTAATCTGCATGCTATATGTAATCTGTATTTTTTTAACACTTAAAATTACTACATGATACATATTTATGTGTTATTGACTATTTTCTTTCCACTGGACTTATTTTTTAATTTTTAAATAAGTGAATTAGTGCTCCATTAAATGATTTTGACGGAGTAATTAGGCAAAAGATCAGGCTTGTAATTGCCAGTGAAAGAAATGGTTATTGAGGTCAAAAGCTGCTGAAAGGGGAGAAGGGCATAGGGTAGCTCAGTGGATGGAAGAGCATGCACTGGCCCTGGGTTCTGTCAGGGCATGGCAGGAGATGGAGGACTACTGAAAACTTAAAGGAAGAACTGAAGAACACCCAATGAATATAATTACAAAGAGGTTATTTATTGTTAATCTTGTTAGCAAAGTTGTCTCAGGGAATAATGAGAGCTGTATTCAGATTACTGTCATTTGGGAATGAAGAAAAGAGGAGGAAATGGGATAGAAAATTCTTGAAGGGTGATACAGTGAAAGAGGAAAGCTTGATATAAGTGGTCAAAAAATCACAGAACCTGGAGGTAGTTTTTGTTCTATTTTATAAAATGGAAGAGACTTAAAGATCTATCTGCTGATAAGGAGTGGAGGCAGAAATTGGCAATGTAGGAAAGAGAATAACTTGAGTTGTGGTTTATGTGAAAGCACTAGTCTCTGCCCCATTTGTAAAACCAGTTCTTTACCAGTCACTAAGTTTTTTACCAAAGGGGATGGGGGGAGATGGAATGTAGGATTCTCTGGATAGTTAGTGAAATTGGCCAGGCTTCTTCCCTGTGGGCTAGGAATTCTCGTCCTGAGATTCCACTATCCGCACTCCCCAACACACATACATTACTGGGGTTTGAACCTAGGGACACTATACCATTGGGCTATATTGCCAGACCTTCTTATTTTTCACTTTTGAGTCAGGATTTCACTAAGTTGCCCAGGCTGTCCTCAAACTTGGAATTCTCTTGCCTCAGCCTCCCTAGTTGCTTGGATTACGTGCCACCACACCCAACCTTAAAATGTCGGCAGAAGGCAACTGGGTACACAGCATACCCAGTAATCCTCAGGCAAAGTGTAGGGGGCAGGGCAGGAGTTTTTCTCTTTTTCATGTGACTACTACATAAAACCAGGTACTGTGATGCACACCTGTAATCCCAGCTACTCTGGAGGCTGAGGCAGGGCAATCACAAATTCAAGGCCAGCTTCTACAGTCTTGCAAAACTGAATAAGTTAAACATTTCCAAAATATTAATTATCATAAGCACAATGCCAGAGATAAATATCTGTATGTTCTCCCCCAAAACATTTACCAGACACCAAAAGCCAGTGTGGCTCATCATTTTCTTGGGCAAGACTTCATCAAGAAAATAGATTAAAGCTAGGATCTGGGGTGTTGCTCCGTGGTTAGAGAGGGTACTTAGCATACTGGATGCCCTGAGTTGATCTCCAGCACTGAGAGAGAGAGATATATACGGACACTTTGCCCTTGATTCTTCCAAAGATATTTCGGATAAGCTCCCCAAAGTAAATCCTAAGATGAAAGTCCAGAGATACAGCATTTGGTCTAGTGATTTCAGAGAAAGAATGAAACTTGAAGGGACTCTCAAGAGGTAATTGAACTTCTAATGAGACAAACCTATGTCAACAATGGATGGTGCCAGAAAATTAGCATCCTCTTTGATTATTTGAGGCTTCAGACCTCAGGAGCCCACCTGGAAGAGCACACAGGAGTTCAGAATACTTGCCTGTCTAAAAGCATATAGAGAAATCATCTTGCTTTGACTTTTTCTTTTTTGGTACTGGGAATAGAATCCAGGGCTTTACTCCTGTTAGGCCAGTGCTCTACCACTGAGCTACATTCCCAGCCAGCGATGAATTCTATTTAGAACACAGACACTGAAATCTGAAAGTGATCCCTTCTTTTGGAAAAAATAAAGTGACTTGGAATGTAAGTGCTTATTGAATATTTGTTCAGTGTTAATTAGAAATGGTTGCAGTTAACTTAGAAAATGGTTTCATAGCCCAGTAAGTACATGGAAGGCTTGGTTTACTTTTCCCTCATATTTAAATTGTTTTTGATTATAAAATTAATGACTAAAATATTTAATTTATGCAAAAAAACATTAGTAATCCTTAAGCTTACTAACCAGAGTGGTATCTGTATATTTATTATGGCAGAGAATATTTTAGAGCCTTCTCTGAGGCAGGTGATAGGCCTTGTGTGTACAGACAGGAAAACCCGTTGTTCTGTGGAACGTGTGGTTCAGCAAGCAAACAGGCAGTGACTTATGTTAAAAACTTACTTAATAATGTCAGGTAGTTGCAGGTTCTATAATGAAAGATTAAAGAAGGCAAAAACAATAGAGAATAGATATATACATTATTATTTTGCATATACTTGCAGAATTATTTTCAGAAAATTGTTTCATATTTTACTATATTCTGTTTTTTTTTTTTAATTTTTAAAACTTGGTCATATAACCATGTCATTACAGATAGATCACACAGTCACCAAATATTTAGTTAACATTTAAACGTCTTGAAAGTAGCAGATTCAGTGCTGGGTTCTGTTAGTACACTTGGTGAGCTAAACAAAGGCCAAACTTTTTTGGTACTTATGGGCTAAATATATAGTTCTTCCTTAACTGTCTATTGCTGTGTAACAGATTACTCCAAGATTCAGTATTTTAGAACAACACCTTATTTCATGGTGTCTGAGGATCAGGAATATAGAAATAGCTTATGTGTATGCTTCTATTCAAAGTCTGTCATGAGGTCGAAGTAATCTGGAGCAAACCCAAGAGAGCTGAATTCTGGCTTGTCAGTGAGAACAGCCAATCTGTATATTGGTACTTCTGGAAGGTTCAGGAATTGGTAGCATCTGATCCTTAGTAGGTGGTGGTGAAGATAACATTATAAACAGAAAGAGTAATTGAAAGTTAGTTTGAAAAGTTAACACCTAATTCTCTCTGCAGCCAGGATTATTGCTTCTAAACATTCCAAAAATTAAAAACAAAAGGATAAAGATGGCAAGTTTCATATCAGAATGGCATCAGACTTGTCAGAATCAATATAGAAGCTAGTGGACAAGGAACCAGAATCAATGTTGAAGGAAATTATATCTAGCTTAGAATTTTGTGTCCAGCTATACTGTTGATGTGTACATACAGTTAATGCATTTTCAGATATCCTGGATTTCCAGAAGTTCATTTCCAATGTCTTCTTTATTAGGAAACTAAGACCTGTGTTTCTTCATGAATCTCAGGTCTTTCACTGTCACCACTGGATTTTGGAGAAACGTGAGTCAGCCTTAGTTCCCTAAGAAATAAGACACCAGTCTGCCAGGAGAGGAGTGAAAGGAATGTCAGCATCATGGTAAAGAGAAGATGGCACCAGGCAGTGGGTCTTGTTAGAACATTCCAACAGGACATTTACTCAACTATACAAGTGTTTGTGGTTAAACAACTATGTAGAAAATAAGGCAATGAGAGGGTACAGGTATTCTAGCTAAGAGTTGTTTTTGTTTTTTTAAAGAAGTCATGGTAGGTTCCATAGTTTAACTATCAAGAGTCTATATAGATGTAATAATAACTGTGAGAAAAGGCACAATACATGTATATGGTTGAAGCAGTTAGGAAGTAGTCAGTATGTTTGTTCAGGAAACCAACCTGAAAAGCTTCATCTGTCATGGTGAGTAGTTAGTACTTATGTTTAAAATTAAGTCGTACTAGAAGTTAAGCATATTCATAAGAAAAAGAGGTAAACACCAGAAAGATGGACTAAAACATTTGAAAATGTGAGGGGAAAATGAAACAAAATAGAGTAGGTGGTATTTTCACAAAGGGTTCAATAGTCTATAATAGACTGTTTAAACTATGTGAAGTATATATAATCATATAATTATGAAGGTGTGTATTAAATTATGTGAAAGTTTATATAATTTTGAATAAAATTAAGCTAGACTTAAAATAATAAAGGGTATTTTGTTGTTGTTGTTATTGTTTTGTTTTGGTACTGGGGATTGAATCCGGGGCACTTCACCACTGAGCTATATCCACAGTCCTTTTTATTTTATTTTTTAAATTTTGAGACAGGGTCTTCCTAAATTGCTAAGGTTGGCCTTGAACTTGTGATCCTCCTGCCTCAGGTTGCAGGGATTGCAAGTATGTGCCATCCATGCCCAGCCAGTAAAGTGTATTTATGTAAAAAGAGTTGAAACCAGGGAATGTTGCTATAGAACAGCAATAACAATTTAAGGACTAATTTTGGGAACTACTACCTAAAAATAGCATAGTACCATTATTACTGGGAAGCTCTTGAAATTAAATCAAGTTTTTAGGTTTTCATTTATTTTTGGTAGTTAAGCTTTTATATAGATACATAGCTCGCTTTTCTGTTATCGGTCTTCCTGAAATGCCTTTAAAATGAATTATATAAATTATAAAATCATGTAAATTATATAAATTCTTTCTTCCCATGAAATTTAAAAATTTGAGTTTTTTTGGGGGGTGGTGATTGAATTCAGGGGTACTTTACCACTGAGCTACATCCCCAGCCCTTTTTATTTATTAATTTTTTAAAATTTTGAGACAAGGTCTTACTTAGTTGCTTATTAGGGTCTTGCTAAGTTACTCATTCCTCAAACTGGCGATACTCCTGCCTCAGCCTCCCAAGTTGCTGGGATTATAGGTATGTGCCACCACACTGGGCTCCCATGAACTTTTTATTAAAAGAAACAATTGAAGTTAATCTGAAGATTCAGGTTATGTATTTTTAGTGAAACGTTTTATACAGAATATCTATATTTTGGTTGTGCAGACTAGCACGAATATTCAGATAGGATTTTATATCACAGTGTTTTTTAATAGATAAGTTTAATAACTTGTATGATTCTGAGTGATTATGAACTTGGAGATCTTTGTTGTTCATAGTTACTCAACATTTTGTGACTGAGGTGTGGATTGAAATTTTTTTGTGTAATATATGTAATTTTAAGTGTGTAAGTCGGTAGGTATATCCTAGTGTAGGGAATAGCCTTAATATGTATGCTCTTAGTGTATAAAGATTATGTTTGGAAAATAATTTAAGAACTTTTTCTCTGTTGATGAGGTTTCTGTGTTTAAGAGAAAGGAAAGTATTTTCAATTTGTTTTACTTTAAAATTGAAAACAAGAGGGTTAAGCTCAGAAATATCAGGTTTTTTATTTTTTTCTCCTCTCACATTAAGAGTGGAGAAGAAGAAACAGATCCCACGGAACATCGGAGTAGGGCAAATGAGAGATTGAAGTAGAACAGGAAAAAGATAAAACTGTGATATCCATAAATTCAAAGCCCTATTAGAAACAAGAGCAGGATGGATGTGAACAATGAGATACTATATGCCAAAGATGAAAGAATTTTTATGTATCATTATCACTACTTACTCCTTTAAGATTTTTCTGCTACAGACTCACAGTTATGTATTTTTGAAATCAAAAGTAAAATGAATATTAATGAATTTGTGCCTTGGGTTTGATATTAAGCTGAAGTGGTACTCTTGATTTTTTTGTTTGTTTTCTGATGATGTATAATTTTGAAAATAAGTAACTTAAAAGTTTTAGGCATTACACCCTTTTCATAACTATAACTGTAATTACTATTTGAGTTTCCAATACTATTATGAAGAGGGAATAATTAAGAAGTTAAAGAAGCACTAATACTTGAGAAAACAAATATGTTTTTATATATGTAAAGCTTGTAATTTTCCTGATTGTAAGGAAATTTTCAGATTGTCTTAACATGTTGTTGTTTACTTTTGTTTTTGTTTTTGTATTTTTATTAAAGGTGGGAACAGAGAAAAGATCCTCATGGTAGAACGTATTATGTGGATCATAACACAAGAACTACTACCTGGGAGAGACCACAACCTTTACCTCCAGGGTAGTGTAGCATCTTAATGTATTTTCAGTTGTACTTTTTTCATACATGTAATGTTTACATTTATTTAATACAATATAGAGTGTATTAGGCTCTAAAGATAAAGACAGTAGCTGCTTAAAGTTTGGATAGTAGTTTTAGTGAAATAAAACCAATGTTATATTATCAGTGGGTTTAAATGAATGACAATAATGTGATGATCCTGTCATAATTAAAATGAACTTTTGGTTTGTTATTGAAATATAAAGTTCATTTTAGTATCAAATAAGGTATGATAATATCTTATTTGATACTAAAATGAATTTTTTTAAAATATGGAAGTCAAAATGAAATCTGGAAGGACTAGATATTTTGATTATCAAGGACAAAAAACATTTTAAGCATAGGCAGAATGTTTAGCGGGGAATGTATAATTCAAATAGCTATCAGTGCAGTATTATGAAATATTATAGAAGAATTAAAAAGTTAGTAAGGATGCAGTTTGGGCATGACATTGAAAGATAGCCTAGAAGCTTCAACATTATTTAATATGTAATAATTTTTTTATTAAAACCCTCTATAATGTAATACAAGTTCACTTATAGTCATCTTTCTAGATCATTATTTTGAACTAGTCTATTATCTCTTATGTCATTAAATATTTTGATATAACATAGGTTAGATTACTATCTATGGAGAACTGTGTATATAAATGGTTTGACTTTACTCTAGTTTTAGTAATAAGCTTATGGAAAGAATTTAGAATTGGTTTTTGAAAGGATTCTGAAATAGTTATAGTATACTTAATGACAGATGTGTGGGAAAGGTGAGAGATGCACTGAACCCTGGATGGAGCCTGAATAGAATTCTGGTTGGTAGAGGAGTAGGGAAGGCCATTCTGTTCTCATGGAATATAAAAGAATGACAGTGTGAAACACAACACTCTTGGAACCAGCAGGAAGTAGTGACTTTGACTCTCAGGGAGCCCTTGAATGTTCTCAGGGGAGTGAGGCTGAAAAAGTAGATGGGTTCATTTGTATGTCATACAAAAGAGCTGTGCTAAGTGGAATGGAATGATTTCAACTGCAGTTCAAGAAGATAACTGACAGCAGTGTGACAGCAGAGGGCTAGTTAAGAAGCAACAAAAAGGGTTCAGTTCATTTAATATCCTGATATAGGCAGTGATCACAAGGCAGATTGCTTGGTGTACATTAAGCACTCTCAGTAAATGCTTATTAAAGAAAAAAAAGTGGGGGAGAAAGGGTAGTAGGATTGAAACTGTTAAATCAATGACCTCTCTTTTAGGCAGTGTTTAGAAATTATGTTAGTTATGGAATGGTAAATGAATGACAAATATTTTATAGCTAAAATATTATATAGTTTCATAGATTTTTTAAAGATTAAAATTTTATGATTTTAAATCATTCTGAGTGAAGTATTAAAATTTAAAAATTTCCCTTTTTTGTTATTTCTTTTTTTTTTCTTTTTTTCATTTGCTTGTTTGTGTGGTACTGGGCATTAAACTCAGGGTCTTGTGCAGTGAGCTACATCAGTTATTTAAATTTTTATTTTAAGGCAAGATCTCACTAAGTTGCCCAGGCTGGACTTGAACTTGAGATTCTCCTGCTTCAACTTTCTAAATAGCTGGGATTATAGGCATGTGCCACGATGCCCACAGTATTTTATTTTCTTTTATTGTTTTTATTTGTGGTAGTTGGGAAAGAAGAGTTGATGATCGTGGAAGAGTTTATTATGTGGATCATAACACCAGAACAACAACATGGCAGCGGCCTACCATGGAGTCTGTTCGAAATTTTGAACAGTGGCAATCTCAGCGGAACCAATTGCAGGGAGCTATGCAACAGTTTAATCAACGATACCTCTATTCGGTAATTAGCAAATTATAGGATGTTAACTCAACTTTTTCTCTCAGGCATTTGCTCTTTTTGTACTTTAGTTATTTTCTAAAATGTTATATAGTGTATTTCAAGGTATTTCCTAGTCAGTCTTTTAATAAATAAGATTTTTTTTTTGGTAAATTTTGCATTCAAAATTTTTGCAGGTTTTGGAGCATTTCAGATTTCAGAGTTTTGAATAGGAATGCTCAACTCGTACTTTGTAAATAAGAAATTATGTACTGTGTGAATTTATCTTGTTCATTTATGGAACCTATCTGTATGCATGAACCTTGGGTGAAACAAGGCAGAATTAAGTATTAACTATGTATCAGAAGTATGTTCTACAAGTAACAGAAATTCCCTTAAAAGGCCTGAGGTTTAGGGGCTTAGGGGCTGGGGTTGTGGCTCAGTGGTAGAGCGCTTGCCTTGCATGTTTGAGGCACTGGGTTTGATCCTCAGCACCACATAAAAATAAAAATAAATAAATGTCTTGTGTCCAACTACAACTAAAAAAAAAAAGAGGTTTATCACAGTAGAACATCAAATCTCAGGTAAGAGTTTAAGAGGAATACTGCATTGGCTTAGTAGTGCCGTAAAGTACCCAATTACTCTCTGCCTTTTAGTTCACCCATCCTTATTATGCATCATGCCTGTTTGTTTGAACATATGGAATTGCTGCCTTCTGACCCTCACTCCCACAGTTAAGCAAGAAGAAAGGGAAAGGGGAATTGTTTTAGCTGGGTTTTATGTAGCAAGTTCTTGCCTGTTTAGTGAGGCATACCCTCGACCTTCTGCCTATACTCAGTAGCCAGAATTTGTCACTTTACCAATTCAACTAAGGGATTGAAACAGGGAATGAAATATTTCTTATGGATACATTGCTATCTCAAACAAAACAGTGGGTTGGTTACCTAGCTAGGAGTAAAAATGCTCATGGAGTACAACTAGCAATATCTGTGAAAAGAATAAAAAATATCCATCAATATACTTTATCATTAGGAAATTTTTTTCAGGTTATTATTTTTATATTCTTTTAGAATTTAAGAGATCATACATTTTCTTCAGAACATATTTTTAGTTGCAATCATAAGCATACATGGAAAAGTTTTTTTAAATGTTTGAATATATAAAAATACTAAGTAAAAATAAAAGTTCATTTCTATAAAGATGAATCTGGAGTTTAATATTGGCTTTATTAAAGGACATTTATTTTAAAGAGTACTGTGATAGTTGTTGTGTTTTTAAACAAATAATATTGCCTCATTTAAACATCATTTATGTGCTCTTTGACCATCTCATCTCACCCTTATAGATGATTATAGAAGGACTAGGAGATACCGATATCAGTGTAGTATTTCTAAATTGTTTTAGTAAAAACCTAAAAAGCTTATCAGTTGATAGGCTGCTCTTAACGACGTATTTAGAACTCTGTGTCTTGAAATTGATATACATATCTTCATCTTTATTAAATTTTTTAAGAATTATAGATTCTGCCAAGTGCTTGGCTTATTTCTGCTCTTCTGTTAAAATGCTGTTATTTGATTTTTTTCTCTCAACCCCTTCTCCAATCAGGCTTCAATGTTAGCTGCAGAAAATGACCCATATGGACCTTTGCCACCAGGCTGGGGTAAGCTGATATGACGTTGGTAAAAATGTCTGTAAGATATGTCTATATCAAATACTTATTAAATGCTATGCTCACTTTATTTATTTAATTTTTAGAAAAAAGAGTGGATTCAACAGACAGGGTTTATTTTGTGAATCATAATACAAAAACAACCCAATGGGAAGACCCCAGAACTCAAGGGTATGTTTATACTTACTATAGTCATTTTGCATGCATCTGTAGATAACAATCAGTGAGTCCTGAATCCTTACAAAATATTCACCTTGTGATTTTAACTTTTCTCTTTTAGCTTACAGAATGAAGAACCTCTGCCAGAAGGCTGGGAAATTAGATATACTAGGGAAGGTGTTAGGTACTTTGTGGATCATAACACAAGAACAACAACATTCAAAGATCCTCGCAATGGGAAATCATCTGTGTAAGTGAAAACCTGTTCTCCTTAAATGCTGCTTAATGAAGACATGAGGTCCAGTCTCTAGTGTAGCCTCAGTTTAGCAACAAATTTTACCTTTTGGTTCAAGAAAATGTGCACAAGTCATAAAATACCTATCTTTGTTCTGTCCTGTACCAGAATAGATTTGGCATGGAATTCCTTAATTACATTATATTATATATAATAAAATAACTGACAAATATATGCATAGTAGTTGCTACATTCAAGGATTATCCCAAGCACTTTATATATATTCATTTTTCTCTTGCGTTTGAAGTAGATATTGTTATTCTTCTTTATCAAGTAAGGACACAGGTATAGCGAGTATACCTACCACCAAGTTATAAGACAAGTAATAGAGCTGTTTCCAGAATCTGTGCTCTTAGCTCTTATATCATACTGCTGCAAAATGAGGGTGAGATATTGAACAAAACTGAATTTCCCAAATAGATTCCTGAAGTAGTGGATAGATCTCTTCTTCATCCTTACTCTGAGGTGTTATGTCTTTGTATCATTAAGAAAATGAAAGCAGTCATAAGAAGTCTTTTGCAAATTTCTTCACATCTACCTGTCTCCCAGCACTCATCCTCCATCTTTCTTCTTTGTTCCCAACTTGAGAATATCTCTAGAGCCCAGCTATATCTTATTACTTCTAATATTGCCATGTTGGTTTATTTACCATTGTCTGTCACCTGGAGAGTATAAGGGTCCTTGCTCTCTCTGCTTTCAACTCACACCTTCTGTGATGTTATATTATTCTCTATATTGAAGGAAAACTTTTTTTTTTTAAAATAAAAAGTCATTCCTTAGACTCTAAACTCCTGGCAATGATTTTCATGTGAATTAGAGTAAAAAAGCAGTTTTTAAAATGGCTTCTAAGGCCTTGTAGAATCTGATCCTTTTTAACTTTTAAACTTCATCTCTATTTTCTCCTCATTGACTCTGAACTAGCTCCATTGGCCACCTAGCTATACCTTGAACATCTTAAGCTTCCACCTCTGAATCTTAGCCTTTATTCCCTCTGTTTGGTATGTTCTTTCTCTAAATACACATATAGCTTATGCCCTCTCTTTTTGTGTTTTTGCTCAAATGTCACTGTCTATGAACCCTACACTCTTTTCATAATTGCAAAAGTCTCTCCCCATATCACTCCTTATCCTTTGTCCTCTTAATAAGACTTTTTTCCCCCTTTAGGAAGTTGTAAGTTATTTACCTCCCCCTTTTAACATACACCATTTATAGTTTACTTATTCATTGTGTTTCCTTTCTTTCCTCTTCACTATTACTGAAGTTCCATCAAAAAAGGCATTTTATTTATTAAAAAGTAATACTCTAATTTTCTAGAAGTATGCCAGGTACATGGCATACATTTAGTAACTATTTGTTGGATGAATGGATAACTAAAATGTACCCTAAGATGGTAAAAGTTTTTTGAACCTGTTAGATTCTCAGTAGGAAAGAGACCCAAGCCTTCTCCCTGTGAGTCAAACCATATTATAAAACCTTCATTTCTAAATGCCATTCACATTGCCTTTTGTTTCAGTGACCAACTGAGCCCTATGACCTGAATGTCACTTCTTGTTCCTAGGAGTTTGATTTTGCTTTGCTTATTATCTCTTCCAATATGTGTTTTTTTCAGGTTAGGTTTAAGATGTGATACAGTTGCCTTCCATGTTCCTTTCATAAAAATAGAGATTTTGTTCTCAGATTTAAGGATTAATGTAGGCTTTCTTTGAAATGGCCTTCAGTAGACCTTAATATTTCAATTATTAGTTAACACTGATGTATGCAGTCTCCCTCTTTTTGAACATCTGTGTCCTATTGCTGTATTAGCCCTATGATCCAAACCTCTGTTGGCCCACTAAATAGACCTTTATTCTTCTCCCAGCAAATAATATTCCTGGCTTGTATGTAGGACTCTAGTATACTCTCACTTAATACTGAACATGAAATATTTATTTAATTTATTTAATTAATTTATTATAAATTAATACATACTTTGTTTTTTGTTTTCTTTAGAACAAAAGGTGGTCCACAAATTGCTTATGAGCGCAGCTTTAGGTGGAAACTTGCTCACTTTCGTTATTTGTGCCAGGTACTACAGTGGTAAATAAACCTTATCTTTATAATTGTTTCGTATTACTTTATATTATACATTTATATGGCTTACATGATATGATACTATTTTTGTTTTTAGTCTAATGCACTACCCAGTCATGTAAAGATCAATGTGTCCCGGCAGACACTATTTGAAGATTCCTTCCAACAGGTAAGGAAGATTTTATCAGAATAAAATAATACTGTTGTCTTATTGTACTCATTTTAGGGTTTTAGGAATTTTAAACCATTTACAGGTAAAGGTACTAAAACTGAGAGAACCATCATTCTATCATGAATTTAAATGTGTACTTACTAATATTAGATCAACTTGTTCCAAAGTGGTTTGTTTTGAAATTTATTTACTTGACTACAGATTTACTACATCATACAAAAAGTTTTGAAAACGCTAACAAATTAAGTTTAAAGATACTATATTCCATTTGAATATTTCATGAATACCTCTAATGTTCATTCTTTCCTCTAGGTTTCTTTTTAAATGTCATAGTCTCAGAGCAACTTTGTCTGAGCATATTAAGATAGCAATACCCATTCACCTATCTCACAGTCACATTCTAGCCATTTATGGTACCATACTCTTTTTCATAACACTTAACTACTATCTTACATACATTTTATTCATCTTCCTATCAGAATGTAAGCTCCAGGAGAACAAGGACTGTTTTGTTTACAGCTTTTTTGCCCAGTTTCTAGAGTTGTGCCTTGCACATTACAGGTATCCACCATGAACGAATGAATAAATGTAGTATGTATGCCTTCCTGAATCATCTGTAGAATTTTAAAGATTATAAATCAGAATACTTTTTTTTTTTTTTACGATTAAGTAGAGAATTTTTCATATGAAAACCTCTCACTCTCCTCCAAAGTATTATAGTGATGAACCAAACTTTCCCCTGTACTCAGATACAAAGGGGTTTTATTTATTCTTTGTACAGGTCAAAATGAAATAACAACACTCTAAAGTCATAGAGGTGTTCAAATCCTAGCTTAGTTTTTACTAGCTGTTTGTTGGACTTGGAACAAGATAGATAATAGCTATTATCAAAACTTGGTGTTGATCATTTTAAGTGTGCATCTAAATTCATAGTAAACCATCTTGTCCTTCAGGAGAATCATGGTCTATTAGGATAATCAGGGATTGAGCCCTTATTGTCTCTAAAGGAGAGGCCTGCTAGAGAGATGTGTTTCTAATGCAGACCTGCCAGTCTTGGCTCTGGTTCTGTGATGGAAGTAATTCATTTTTTTATACGAAAAGTAAAGCCTACTTTAGTAAATTGATAGATGTACTAAGGATTATGAAAATTTGGTACAGGTACCTTCTTAATATATATTATTCTATGTACAAATGCATCATCATAGAAATAATGATTATAGAGGAGTTACTTTCCTCCCGAGAGAATGTTTGGTAAGTAGGGTGCAGAACAAGTTCTTTTGCCTCGTAAATGTTGCTACTCAAGAAGATTTACCTGTTTAAAATAAGGAAAGATTTTGGTATGGTTTTGGAGAGTGAGAAGGAAGAGAATATTTTCTAACTTTAACAGCTTTCTGTGTCAAATTCTTTCTTCCTTTTTACTAGCCCAAAGTATAACTGTAATTTAGTTCTAGAAGAGGGGAAAGAATATATTAAAGTGGGTCAGAGAAAGTTTAACGGATTATATCTAGCCATGAAAAAAAAATTCTCTCTTAAGTTAAAGGCATCTTTTCATTAGATAATGAAATGTGTAATTCTGAAAATATAGGTTAAATTTAAATTGAATTGTTTTGGAAGTAACTAGTGCCCATCTATGAATGTTTAAATATTCATGTTTTTTATTTTAATTAGATTATGGCATTAAAACCCTATGACTTGAGGAGGCGATTATATGTAATATTTAGAGGAGAAGAAGGACTTGATTATGGTGGTTTAGCAAGGTAACATTAAAAAATATGTATCAGCTTTGAAATAAGTGTATCTTATTGTATGCAGTAGACGTATGCTTGAAAAAATATGTGATAATATTAGAGTATTTTTTTTCCAGTAGCAATCCACTGTTATTTTTAAAAATAAAATATTTGTACAATTCTACAGGTAAATTTTATTATTACCTTTCTTAATTATCCTATTATGTATTTTCTCTGCATATATGTATAATATGTAAATATACATAGGTAAATTTGTGTTTACATTAAAATGGTATATGTTTATTGCTTTTAGTAGATTTAATTATACAATGTATAAAATGTAAGAATTTGTTTAGAGGACTAAGAGTATGGTTAAGTGATAGAGTACTTACCTAGTATGCAGGAAGCCTGCTTGTGATCCCCCATGATGAAAAAAGGGAAAATAATAATTTGTTACTTTATATATGGATATCTTTCAGTGTCAGTAAATATGTAAAGAGTGCATGCATGCACATGCTAATACTTTTTTTCAGATGGTTACACAGTTTTTCGTATATAGTGATATAATAATTAATGGATCAGCATAAGGTTATTTCTTAGTTTTTGCTGTGATAACATTGTATTTTAGTTTTATATTTGTATTTTCAATCCAGATTTCTTCTTTTTCCTCATTCACTAAAGATATTATTAACAATAGACATTTGTGAAGCAATAAAAAACCCTGTAACTTCCCATGTTTCACACAAACCTAATTTGACACTTTTTATTTAGTTTTTTTAGCAAAACACTCACTAAACTCTCCTAAGAATTCAACTTGTTTTTTCACAGAAACAACTCTTTTAACTCATATTTCACTGGTGTACAGAATTATGAAATCACAATTTTAATACAACTAACAAAGAGTGATGTAGAGTCGGGTACAACTGTCAGGGCAGAAATATGACATTGTAAGTGAGACTATCAGAATTTTATTTATGCTATCATATTTATTCATCCAAAACATTAAACTTTTTCAGTGAAGAAACACTAGCACAATTAATGTTCATATTACATCTGTTGTGAATTTTTCTAAATTTCAGAGATGTTAAGACATTAAAAAGAAAGGTAGATTTTAGAGGTAAGGAAATGTGGTATGATTTTTCCAGTATCTGACTTTATAACATTCGCAGTCTTGTCTGAACCCTTATTTGCCTTAACTGTTTGGGTCTAGTTTTGTATTTTGACAATGTCCTCCCACAACTTTTTATTTATATATTTATTTTGTGGTACTAGGGATTGAACCCAGAGGTGCTTTACCACTGAGCTGCACCCCACTCATGTTTATTTCCTGAGACAGGGTTTCACTATATTGCCAAGACTTGCCTCAAAAAACCTGTGATCCTCCTGCTTTAGCCTCCCAAGTAGCTAGGATTGATAGGCATGTGCCATTGCACAAGTCCTATTTTGGCAGTTTTAATGCATATAGCCAGTCTTTCTATCCCATGATTTTTTTATTTCTAATTTTTTTTAATTCATGTGTTTGGGCTAGACTCATTATCAAATGATTTATTCAAGAGTTCACATGGTGATATATCCTATAGTCTTTGCATGTTTGAAAATGTTTTCTGTTGCTTTTTTGTATACAGAGAACAATCTCACTAGATTTAAATTTCCTCCACAAAATTCATTACTCAAATACTCTAGACATTGCTTCACTATTTCTAGCATTGAATTGTCAGTACTACAATGGTATGAAGCCAATCTCTTGTAGGAAACTTTTCTCTCGGTGTCCACACAGTTCTTTTCCTTGAAGTTCATTAATTTCATTGTTGGTTATGTTATATCTTTTTTTCAAGGAACATACTAAGATGTTCCTTAATTTCAGGGAAATTTTCTTTTATTATATCTTTGAATATTTTTTCTGTTCCATTTGTTCCATTTTTCTTCAGGAACATCAATCATGGGTATGTGGAATCTCCTTTGTCAGTCTTACTTGTCTGTCATCTTCCTCTAATCATTTTTATCTTTGTGCTTCTCTATTTTGAGTTTTCTGAAGCCTGTCCTCATGTCAGTGTGTGCAGTATTGCCCCATGTTTTGCTGCTTCTAATGTGATTTTTTTTCATTAGTAGTTGTACTATTTTCTTTAGGCTCTGCTGACTCATCTGTTGTGTCATAATTTTTTCAACTTCTTGTGTCTCTTCAATTTATTTGAGACTGTAGAGAAGGACATGTTGAAAATTAATTCTTCTGTCTCCTGTTAGGAATTTTTTCTTCTTTTCTGCTAAGGCAACGGTTAGGTGTCATGTTATGGCCATTCTTTGAGTGAACTTGTTTTTTCTGGGCTGCTGTTTACTAAAAGTGATCTGAAGCAACCAGAAACTTTATTCTGAATTTTTGTGTATCTAAATACATTCTCACTAGACTCCTCAGTCCACTTCCCTGAGGCCATGTCTTTCTTTAGCCTTATCACAGAGTAACTTGGTTTAACTACCATGTTGGGTCTGGATTTCATTTTATGAATTGCTTTTTATCATTTCTTATTTGATTTTGTTTAGGGACTTCCTTCTCTCCTTCAGGTAGGTTTAGGGATGTTTTAAAAGCTCTTGAAAAGCATTTTTAACATGCTGTGGAGCCAGATGACCTGCATAGAGATGCCTCATTGTGATTTTAAATTTTGTAAATTACTGATAATATATTTTTTTAAAACACCAGATTATACTTAAGAATTAAGTTTCTGACTTTTCTTTAAAATCATAGACTCATATTTCCACTTTTTTACTTGCATCAGTTGGCTGCATCTTAGTAGCTGTTTCTTCTTTAAGGGAGCATAAAACTGTTTCACTATAGTGCTCAGTACTACCCACTCTATTAAGACTAGGGAAATGTGTCTAGAAAGTCTCCTTATTTAAAGCAATTAAGTTTAGCAATGCTGTAATGAGGAACAGAGGATTGTGGCTAAGTAGAGAATATAAGCCCCTGTACTCTTTGATTGTTGTAATCATTTGAGCTTGAAATTTGGCTTTAGAAGAAATTGTTGTTGAAAAGAACCTTCTGCAAATTGAGTTTTATTTTGTGATATGAATTATTAATCTCTTATCTAGTTGAATTCTTAGACTTTAAAGTGAGGGAATATAATTCATATATTATCATGTTTAATTTCTTATCACATTTAACTATAATTTTAAAATTATAATTTCATTTTTAAGGCATTGGCAATAAAATAAAACTGTTTCATAGCAGCAACGCTATGTGTTTCACTAGCAAATGTTTTATTAAAACCCATTGTGGAGCCTGGGGCTATAGCTCAATGGTAGAGTGCTTGCCTAGCACCACCAAAAACAAACAAGTGACCATGCAAACAAAACAGAAAAACCTATGGTGTATAGATCCTAGGAAGTTAAGGATACAAAGAATACATAAAGACATGCCTTTTGCATTTGAGGAGCTTGCTCTAGTGGATGGGATAGGTCATGTGGTTAAAATAAATAAAATTTTGAGGACGTTATCACAAAGTGGCTGAATAGATGATATACTGAAATTGCTTCAGAAATGAATGAGGTTGGATTTACACTGAACTGAGATAAAGTGGGATCTATAAGTTGAATTGAAGTTGAGAAAAACCAAAATGAAAGTGTGGTGTAGAAATTAGCATTTGAACAGTGCATTTATGGTTTGGCAATGCAGAAACTAACAGGTAAATTTTGCATGGAAAATCAGGTTATAGAAAGGCTAAGGAATTGTGCAGTAGAACTTTAAAGGTTAGTGAGCATAATCTCTCTCTCTCTCTCTCTCACACACACACACACACACACACACACACACACATACACACACACGGTATATATATGGGTATATTTAAGACTTGTTTTTAAATTCCCATATATGAATACTAAAAAATAATCTTGATTTATTTTCTTATAGAGAATGGTTTTTCTTACTCTCACATGAAGTTTTGAACCCAATGTATTGCTTATTTGAGTATGCAGGCAAAAACAACTATTGTCTACAGATAAATCCAGCATCAACTATTAATCCGGACCATCTTTCATATTTCTGTTTCATCGGTCGCTTTATTGCAATGGTGAGTTCCCACCTTTTGGTATTTTATTTTAATTTTCCCTATTTTGAAAGTATTTTATGAGAACTTTAAAAGACAAAGATAAGCATTAATTATTATTCAGATATCTTGTTTCCATGGAGTTTTGCCTAGGAAGTAATTATCAAAATATAATTCATATATTGAGTGCCTGTATGAAATTAAGGTTATGAATATGAGGATTATTTATAAAGCACATCTTTATAAGTCATTTTATAAAGTAAAGCCTAATTATAGATAAAAGGAAAATCAATTATCTAATCAGTGGTTGTTTTTGAAAATTTCAGAGCATTGAAGAAGCCCTTGTGGAATTATTGTCTTTTGAGAAGTGTTTGTATTTATTTACACTGGACTATCAATTCATTCATTCAGCAGATATTTATTGTGTGTCTACTGTAATACCTAGCACCAATCTAGGCTCTTGAAGAGAAGACACATTCCTTACTGTTAGGAATCTAAATCCTGTAAGAGGGAAAACAATATTAAATATGTGCTCAGGGAAAGGGTGTATTGCTCTTTTATATAATGTCATAAAAGGAGGTCTCTAATGGATGACACATGAACAGAAACATGCAGACAGCACAGGATTTAATTTTGTTATTCCTTGGAGAACATTTTAGGCACATGGAATAGCAAGACAAAGGCTTTGTGGTGGAAGTGCATTCTTTGTTGAGAAACAGGCCAACATGGCTGGAGCAGAATATATGAGAATGTGGTAGGAGATGAAATTAAATACTATGCAGGAATGTCAGAAAATTTACATTAGGGTTTTCAGTAAAAGGCAGTGAGTAACATGAACTAAGTAACATGTTACTTAAATTTTATTAAACTTACTTTGCTACTGTGTAGAAGAAAGACTAATTGGGGCAGGGAAAGATAAAGAGTGGAAGCGGGAAGACCATTGACAATAATCCAGTTGAAAGATGACAGTGACTTGGATTTGTGTGATATAGCAGTGGAATATAGGGGATGTGGTTTGGATTCTGGATATATTCTGAAGTTAGAACTAAAAGTATTTTCTGGCAGGTTAGGATTTTCTGTGTGAGAGAGTAAAGTATGGCACCAAAATTCGTGACCTGTGTATTTACTTGCAGTTGCTATTTCCTAATAGGCAAAATGACAGCAAAAGAAAATTTGGGGTGTTGAGGAAATAAGGATTTGGCTTACTAAATTTGGGATACTGTAGACATCCATATGGAGATATGGATCGACATATAGTTGTATATATAAGTTGGGCATTGAGGGAATATCTGGGTTGAGGGAGGGAGAGGCATATGGGAGTTCTGGGCATGTAGAGAAGGCTGTGATTGTTTAAGAAATTTCAAGGACATTTGTAAGTTGGGGAGAAAATAAGGAAGGAGCAAAGTAGCTGAGGTGGGAAAATCAAGTAGGAGTAGTTCCTAGAAGACAAGGGAAGAAGTAGTGTGTTACAAAAAAGGGAGCTATGATTAATCCTGTCAAGTTACTGCTAGGCCAAGTGAGAAAAAGTCTAGGGATTGACCATTTGATTTGGGAAGGTAAAAGATATTCATGGGTGGTTGGATGGAAAGATTGATGAGGAAAAAATCAAGAGAGACTGGAAGAAGAGAGAGCAAACAGAAACGTATCTTTTAAAGGAGTTTGCTGTAGAGGATCATAGAGAAATGGGCAGTAACTAGAAATGGGTCTGGATTAGAGACAGGAGGAGAATAATAAAGCATTTATATTGCTGACAGGGATGATCAAATAGGAATGAAAAGAATTTGGTGAGGTCAGTAATACAAGGAATATTGGAACAGTGATGTTGAGTAGGAAGAAAAGGAATGGTACACAGAGAAGTACACAGAGAAGTAATAGTAACCTTATTTATAATAAGTGTGTACTGACCCAGCCTAGTAATGAGCAGATTTGGTGGGACACAAAAAATTCTTTTCTGATTGCTATTTTTTTGGTGAAAGAGGAATTAAGATCCTCAATTCAAAGTGAGGAGTGAGAAGAAAAGGACTTGAGGCAAGAAGAGGAACTAAATTAGTCATCTTAGGAGCATGGGAGAGTAAATGCCAGACAACACATAGCTTCAACTTCAGATTGTTGATCGTGAACCAGTTAGTTTGTATATGCATTTCCTGTACCACCTAGGTACAGGTATTGAGTAAACTGAGAGTTGAATTTAGCTAGCCTTGGGATTTTGCTAGAAATTGAGCGGGGGTGGTGGGGTTTGAAAGTATGCAGGAAAAGTAATTTTAATGATTGATGTGAGAAGCCAAACTGAATAAGGGGAGAATATAATTTCATATGCAGATAAGTAATTTTAATGATTGATGAGGGAATCTAAACTGAGTAATGGGAGAATCACTTCATGAAGGGGTTGAGATACAATGATAGGGTAATAGTTTCAGTGTTTGTTGTTGTTGTTTGTTTTTTAAGAACCCCAAGGAGTCAAAAATTGCTGGGAGCCTGGGGTTTCTTTCTGTGTTGGCTGTAGTGAATGGGAGTTAAGGCACAGTGATTATGGAAGTCTTGCAGGAACCTCTGAAAATAAGAAAGGAATGAGATAAGAGTCCTTAAGGTTATACAGGGCTCTTCTTCATTTCTGCATTCAGTTAGGTTAATTTATAAGAAAGTGTGAGGGGTGATTGGTAGTATAGTTCTTTATCATACAATTTTTAGTTTTGATAGTGCATTATACAGCTAAGTGTTTGACCATGAAATAGGTTTGAACTCTTTGTTTTTTATACTTGGCATTTTATGTTTTAATTTTCATGATTTATGATGTTCATGTCCTAATTTTTTTCTATAAAGTCTCATATTATCATTATGCTCTAAATTATTGCAAATTTTAAATAAATATTTTTGTTTTTCCTGGCAGGCACTATTTCATGGAAAGTTTATCGATACCGGGTTTTCTTTACCATTCTACAAGCGTATGCTGAGTAAAAAACTTACTATTAAGGATTTGGAATCTATTGATACTGAATTTTATAACTCCCTTATCTGGATAAGGTTTAAAAACTTATTTTTTTCAATAAGGCATTTTCTTGAAACCCATTTACATATTCTGTTAATTTAATATTTTTTTTCTTTTTTTAACCTAGAGACAACAACATAGAAGAATGTGGCTTAGAAATGTATTTTTCTGTTGACATGGAAATTTTAGGGAAAGTTACTTCACATGACCTAAAGATGGGAGGTTCCAATATCCTTGTGACCGAGGAGAACAAAGATGAATATATTGGGTAAGGTGATATACATTGTTGAGTCTAATTTCTAGAATTTAACAGACAAATTGGAACTAAATTCTCTATCTGGACTTTAATATTATCCTTTTCTCTCTCCTTCAGGAAGTTCTAAATAGTACCAGTGTTCTTGAAATAAGAATACATGATGACCTTTACTTTCCTACTACCGTTTGCTAAAAGTCATTTGCCTTTGTCCAGATTCAAATCTGTAGAATATGTAGATGCTGAATAGTGGCTCTGCAAAGACTGTGCCCCTTAATTGTTTTTTGGTTTTGAAGGCTGGAGTACTGGGGATTGAACTCAGGGACATTAGACCACTGAGCCACAGCCCCAGCCTTATTTTGCATTTTATTTAGAGACAAGGTCTCAATGAGTTGCTTAGCGCCTTGATTTTGCTGAGACTGGCTTTGAATTCGCAATTCTCCTGCCTCAGGCTCCCGAGCCGCTGGGATGACAGGTGTGCACCACCGTACCTGGAATGTGCCCCTTAATTTTTGATGAAGTTATTAGGCTTTGTTTGATATAAGCAAAACCAAATCTGGAACCTAAGCTTTTTACTGTCAGTCTAATGCTTATTTCTATGCTGTGTCACTTTTCCATTTTTAACTTAAACTTTAAATAGTGCTCACCACAACCTTTTTGAAACCTTGTAGTCTCTTGAATTCCACGATACTGTATTTTCCTGATTTTCTTAGTTTTCTCTTTTAATAGTTCTCTAAATTTCCATTTCCTAAACAAAGGAGTTTTTCCAAGACTCTTTATTTAGCCTGCTTTTCTGTTCTGCTACCGTGGCTTCATTTTTTAAATTAAAGTAATAGCTAAGCTCTAGAAATAATATCCATTTGTTATCCAGGTAATTGTAAACTTTATCAGGAAAGGACCAGGTAGTTAAATATTTTAGGCTTGTGGGCCACATACATTCTTACTCAGGTACTCAGCTCTAGTGACAGTGCAAAATTAGCCATCGATAACTTATAAACAGAAAATGTGATTACATTCCAATAAAATAAATTTTATTTCATATAGTTGTATATCACAAATTATCTGAAACATTTTTTTTTTTTTTTTAAAGATGGCCAGCCAGGTAAGGCTGTAGTTTGCTACCTCCTGACTACTCAGTCAATGACCCATCTGAAATTTAACATGTCCAGAATAAAAATTCTCATTTTTTTCTCTACATATTATCTCTTCTTGACCTATTTTTTATTAATAACACTACCATTTTCATCCTTTTAGACTTGGATTCTAGCTGTCATCTTTGTTTTTTTCCTTTCAGATTTTTATATGTTGTATTTAATGGGATCATATTCATATACATTACTCTGTAGCTCATTTTTTTTCTGACCTTCACCTCAGTAGAGATAGATCTCATTTTCTAATGGCTAAATTATGGTATATTTCTTTATATAAAAGAATATATATATATATATATATAAAAGAATATATATATATATATATTTAGTCACTTCTACTCCAAGGGTCATTCAGATTGTGTTGTTTGGGCCACTACAAACAAGGAAGGAGGATATGTCCTTAAGTATGAGTCCATACATATTATTACTTATTTTTGTAGGATAGATCTATATAAAGTGAAATTATTGGGTCAAAAGTATTTAATAGATATTACCATGTTGCTTTCCCCCAGAAGATCATAACAATCCTTTTTTCCCTTCTTTATTTTTAAATTGTTATGACCTTTCAGTTTCACAACCTTTGTGTCTCTCTGTTTACGAAGTTAAGTGCAGACTTTTTAGCATGATATTCTAGGTCTCTTGCTACCTTTTTTTTTTTTTTTTTTTTGCTTTTAGTGAGAAAAATCACCAATAATTGATTTTCTTGTTTGTATGGCTTTCTACTTTGTGAGGTATTTTTTGTTTTACTTTGTTAATGTAATGAGCATTTATTATTGCTATTGGAAAAAATAAAGCTATTATAATATTTTAAAGAAAATACATTCACAAAGAAAACACTGGGCTTTTATGTTGGTGAAGCCTTAAGATTTTTACAAAGACCAACAGTAATTATTAAATAACAACTTAAGCATTTAAAAAATGCTATATAAATGATTTCAGATAACAAAAAGCAGCTTAAATAAAATTTCATCATAGGAGGTTTATAGTACTTATTACTTTGAACTTTATGATTTCTGAAAAGTCACCACTATATTTTAAAATCTTACTTGTATAGTAACTACTGTAAGAGTTAATAATCTAATTTTGAACTCCCATTTTTTCCTCCGTATTGTGCTAGGAGTCAAACCTAGGGCCTTATGCATGCCTCATGCAAGCACTTTACCACTGAGTCACATCCCTAGTCCTAATAATCTAATTTTGAATCCCAACAATTTTTAGAGGATTTTGTGTGCATCTCAAACAAAATCTTGTTTTTAGTTTTGCTTTTAAAAATTATGTGATAATACTTTTTAGTTGTGATACCTTATTTTTGGTGCACAATAGGATCTGAACATATCTGAGTAAATGAATGGTAGAAATATGTATGAAGTTTTGTCAGAATCCAAAGTGGGAAAGAAGTTATTTATTCTGAGGGCCAGGAAAGCTCTTCATAGAATGTCATGGGTAAGTTAGGTCTAAAATGATGCCCGAGAGCTAGGAAGGTGAAAAAGAACAAGAGCAGAGGAATTGAGATATTAAAGGAATAGTTTATTCTGCGATTCTACAATGCTCTAAGGATGTTATAAGATGATGAGAAATAGTGGCTACATAGCACTCTAGCATAAGAGTCAGTTGCACCTCAATTTAAGAGAACTGTTATTCTAAGAGAAGAAGGTTTTTGCTCTAAATTATAAATAGTTATTATAAACAAACCAAGGTAGAATCATCAGAATGTTTTTGGACAACTAATTTTGGCATCTGTGTGGAAGATGAATAGGGTAAGAGAGCAACTGGAGACTAGAATACTAGTTAAAAAGTAGTAAGGTATTGTAGGCTTGAGATAGGGCCTGTGCAGTAGAGATAAAAATGAGGGAGTAGATTTTTGAGGATATCACAAAATGGTGCAGATTCAATGATTGCTTATATATAGTGCAGGAAAGAATAGTAATTTGAGATATTTGACAGTTGAGGTTTATGGTTTGGTTGACAGGTGGATTGTGTTAACAGGATTATCCAAGGAGACACAATTTATAACTATCTTCATCTAAGGAGGGAAGCCAAAGAATTCCTGGCTTTTCTGTGATACTTGAAACTGTAGTAGTTGAAAATATCATTCTTTTAGAGAGTGAACAACTGAAGGAGAAAAGAAGGTAGAGATTTAAGTAACACCAATGTTAATGGAATATAGTGTGAACCAATGAAGAGTCACCAAAGCCCAATTAGAAATGGCATTAATTGACCTGGGAAGAATTTGCAAGAGTTTAGAATGCTAATATCTAGGGATATAGACCATTCTTGTACCATGAACACTGAAAAGAAGACATTGGGCTTGGCAATTAGAAGTTCCTTGATGACATTCATAAAGAAAGTTTATTGAGGCTGGGATTATGGCTTAGTGGTAGAGCACTCGCCTAAAATGTGCATACCCTAGGTTCCATCTTCAGAACCACATTAAAAAAATAAATAAAGGTATGTGTCCAGCTGGAATTAAAAAATAAATATACATTTTTTTTTTTTAATTCTTGGGAGAGATATTGGAAGCTAAATTATCAAGGTTCAAAATTTGAATGAACAGGAGGTGAGAAAGTGGAGACAGTGAATGTAACCTAGTCTTATAAGTCCAGTGCTAAACAGAAGACAAACAGTGGTTTAAGTCACTGGGTTGAAATAAGGGTTTTTGGAGAAGATTTAGTCTGAACACCTTTGTGAACAAATGGAAGAGGAGGAGTAGAAAGGTACAGTTGAGGATATGGAGCAACTTCCTGTAGGACACAAAAAGAGATAGAATCTGCTCTTATTGATGACCTCTCTTCATCAAATACTGTATGTTGTTTCTCCAGAAGATTTTCTGCAGACTCATCTCCTTTTCGAAGCTTCTAATACAGATTTTGTATTGATGACAGATTTTTTTTCTTATTTCTTTATCCTGCTTCCCTATTATACGGATGCTTTACATGGCTTCTCAGAATGTTCCACTTCAACCTTGATTTTTTAAAAATATTTTTTTAGTTGTAATTGGACACAATACCTGTATTTATTTATTTATTTTTATGTGGTGCTGAGGATCGAACCCAGTGCCTTGCATGTGCTCGGTGAGTGCTCTGCCCCTGTGCCACAACCCCAGCCCCTCAACCTTGATTTTTTTGGACTGTTTTGGTTAGGAAATCTTCATGCTCTCCAACAAACCAGCATGTAAAGAACCTGTTATCTAGGTTTAAGGCTTCTAAAGCCATAAACCTATACAGGCATGGGGCATGTAAACAGATTGTCATTGGAAGTTCCTGAGAATCCCTGATCTAGCACCCTCAACTCTAACTTGCAAATGCATTGTACAAGGAGAGCCTTTTAAATGATTAGCAACTCCCTTCCTGTGTCAGCTCACAGTAGTTGATATTTTATATGTGAGGAAATATTAGTGCTAGAATTTGACTCTTACTAATAAATGAAGAACCTCTTATTTTTAAAATGTCCTTTCTAATAGCTACTTATGTGCTAGAACTGATTATCTTGAGAAGTATGTTGATTCTAAAATTTTTTTGTGTGTGTAGATAGATATACATTAATATATGTGTACACACACACATATTTATAGAAAGGAAGGAACTTTAGAAATTCTTGGTGCTTTTAATCCTTTAACTTAACATATAGTAATCTATTTTCAAATACCTTTCTTTATTTTCAGTTTAATGACAGAGTGGCGTTTTTCTCGAGGAGTACAAGAACAAACCAAAGCTTTCCTTGATGGTTTTAATGAAGTTGTTCCCCTTCAGTGGCTACAGTACTTTGATGAAAAAGAATTGGAGGTTAGGCTCTTTTATTATGGTGCTGTAGGGAATGTTACAACATGGGGGAGGGGGCATGTGCTTTCATGCATCAGTGGACACACATTTGAAGTCATGTAGCACAATCTTGAATCCTCAAATTTGTTTAAATGTTTAGGTGGCATTAATACTACCATTGGATGAGAGTCTTAGTTATATTCTGTAAACCCTGATGATCTCATAAGCATAAAATCATCAATCATAATCAGATGTTGGATCATAGAGTGATTTGAATATTATTAATAATTTTAGGAATTAGTAGTGAGTTTCTTCAAAACTCAGTTTTCTTGTTTATTTTTGGTACCAGGAATTGAATCCAGGGGTGCTTAACCACTAAGCCATATTCCTAGCCCTTTTTATTATTTTGAGACAGGGTCTTGCTAAGTTGCTTAGGGACTCACCAAATTGCTGAGGCTGGCTTTGAAATTCTGATCCTCCTGCCTCAGCCTCCCAGACTGCTGGGATTATAGGCATGCACCACTACATCTGGCTTAAAGATCAGATTTTTAAATTAGGAATTCTTAGTGGTCTTAACTATATTTAGGGTTGTTAAAAAGTATATCAGAAATTCTTTTTGTTGTGTATGATAAATATAAAATTTACCATCTTAACCAGTTTTAATTGTGCAGTTCACTAATGTTAAATATTATCATGTATCTAGTCTTCAAAACTTTCCTCTTGTAAAACTGAAACTGTACCTATTAACAATAGCTCCTTACATCCCCCAGCCAGTGCCGACTACTGTTCTTTGTTTCGGTGAAATTGACTACATTTGAAATCTCCTTATAAGTGAAATTATATAATATGTTGTCTTTTTGAGACAGCTTATTTCAGTTTGCATAAGTCCTCAAAGTTTGTCCGTGCTATAACATGTATTGGAATTTTCTTCCTTTTTATGGCTGAATAATATTACTATATACTGAATAAAATTCATATATATGCACATATGTGTATGTGTGTGTATGTATATATACATACACATGTATGCATATATATAACAAGTTTAACCAAATATACATAAGACCTCTATACCAGAACCCCAAAACATTGCTCAGAAAAAAAAAGCAGACCTAAATAAATGCAGTGAGATGAATTAGAAGACCCAATATAGTTAAAATGGCATTTCTCTCCAACTAGGTCTATTAATTCAACATAATCATAGTCAACAACCCAACAAAATTTTGTTTTCAAGTGTTAGGAATTGAACTAGGAGCCTTGCCCATGCTAGGCAAGCTCACTAACACTAAGACTGCATCCCTAGTCCTTTTAAACATTTTTTTATTTTGACAAAAGGTCTTGCTAAATTACGCAGGTTGGCCTTGAATTTGTAATCCTCTTGCCCCAGTATCCTAAGTAGATGGGATTATAGGTGTGTGCCATCATGCCAGCCTCCAACAGAATTTAATTTTCTTGTAGAAAGTGAAATGTGATTCTAAAATTACAAAGAAATATAGAGGCTCTGGAATAGCCAAAGCAATTTTGAAAAAGGACATGACTTATTTATAAAGCCATAGAATACTGTGGCATTTGTGGAAGTACACACAAATATATATCAGAGGAGCACCAGAGAGTTCAGAAATAGACCTACACATATATTATCAATAGATTTTTAACAAAAGTGCTAAGATATTTCAATGGTAAAAGGGAAAATCTTTTCAATAAATGTTGGATCAACTGGATATCCATATGGAAGAAAATTAACTTTAACCCGTATCTCTCAGCCCATAAACAAAGATTAATGTTAAGGTGAAAGTTTGAAAGAAAACAAGAAAAAAATCTTGATAGGCACAAGTTTCTTAGAAAAAGAGCAATAACCACAAAAGAAAAATATGGATAAATTTTACTTCATCAAAACTAAAAACTTCTGTTCTTCAAAAGACACTATTAAGAAAATAAAAAGGCAACCCATATACTGCAAGAAACTATTGAGACATGGTATTATATCCATAATATATTTTTCAAAACCTTTATAGCTCAATTAAAAAAAAACACCATTCTTTTTAATTTTTTTTAGTTGTAGTTGGACAGCAATTAGGATTGTTAAGAGTGTATCAGAAATTTTATGTATTTTTATGTGGTGCTGAAGATTGAACCCAGTGCCTCACATGTGCTATGTGAGCGCTCTATCATTGAACCACAACCCCAACCCAACAAAAGCATTTTTAAGATGACAAAGATTCACTTCACCAAAAAAGATAATGCAAATCATGCACAGTGGTGCTTACCTGTAGTGCCAGCTATTCAGGAGATTGAGATTGGAGAATTGCTTGAGCCTAAGAGTTCAAAGTCAGCCTGAGCAATGTTAACAAGACCCTGTCTCAAAGAAAAAGATATGCAGATGGCAAGTGAACACATTAAAAAGATGCTCACTAGTCATTGGGGAAATACAAATTTTAAAACTCAATGAAACAGCATTTTGGGATAGTGTTGATAGTTTCTTAAAATGTTCAGTGTGTAACAACCTACTTTATGCCCTAGCAGTTACATTTTTAGGTGTTTACCCAATTGAGATATGATATACATCCATATATCATATGCTTTTGCATAGTATTCATTGCAACATTATTTCAGTGTTACAAACTGCAAGCAACCTAAGTGTGTATCCTGTGAATGGATAAACAAATATATAGTCATGTCCTATAATGCTACTCAGTGATATGAATAATGAACTGTTGGTTCCCATAACAACATGAATGAATCTCAGAAACATTATGGGAGTGGGAGGTGGAAAAAGATCAGAAATCAGAAGAGAGTATGTATAGAAAAAAGCATGTATATATGCTTATATATAACTTCTCAGAAAAACAGTATAAATGGTAAAATTCTTGATCATCTAAAACTGTAGATGATTTTACCTACAAAAGGACAAAAAGAGACATAATGGAAATATTCAGTATCTTGACTGTGATGGTCATACAGGTGAATACGTCTGTTGAAACACTTAAATTTGTGTATTTTGCTGTATATAAATTATAGTTCAGTTGATTTATAAAAATTAAAATAAGTACTACATATTTTATTATACCTAAAATAGTTACTATCTTATACATATAATCTGGGAATGTTTGAAAATATTATATATGTAGAATATTTCTTCCCAAATAGATTGGATGAATGAATAAGAGGTTAGTGTATTTTTACTTTTTAAATATATAAGATAGCATAGATGTTTTAAAAAATCATCAGAAATGTATGTTTGAACTAATCAACAATTTGGATACCCAACTTGGGACATGTATATATTGTAAAGTAAAAAAGTTTTTTGGTACAGTTGTTTTTCTTGAAGAATAGATAACTCTAAGTGTTTTCAGCTCAATAAACATGGGTAAAACAAAATAGTAAAGGATTCTTTATGCTCTGTTGCTAAAAATTTTGTTGGACTTGCTTAGTGTTATCATTTGCCATGCACAAACCTGTTCACATAGTTATGCTGTGTGCATAACTGCACAACAGAAAATTTTAGTCATATAATTATTATTTTTACTAAATCTTTATTGAGGCCTAATACTATGCTCATTTCCCAGGTTATGTTGTGTGGCATGCAGGAGGTTGACTTAGCAGATTGGCAGAGAAATACTGTTTATCGACATTATACACGAAACAGCAAGCAAATAATTTGGTTTTGGCAGGTATTTGCTTTATCTTTTCAAAACAGAGTATTCAAGGAAATATTGTCTAATGAAATGTGATTTTAAAAAAAAAATTTTTTTTAATTGAGACTGCTTTTAGATGTGGGTTTTTAGACTTCCAGTTCTAAATCTGAAAGAAGTAATGTGAACAGTTGCTAAATGTGTTTTCCATTACTTCTTTGACAGTCTTTCTGAATGAGGGAATTAATAACAGTTTAAGTAATAATTTAATGGTAATAGTTGTAGGCACACATTTTTTCTAGTAGTGTCAGAAATATTCTATGAATTTCACTATGAATTTCATGTTTTCAGTGAGAAAGTCCATGCAGGTACTTTAAGGAAATCAAATAATCCAAGGAATGATATCTAAGAACAACTTCATTTATTTGCTTATTTATTTTTTGTTTTATGGATTGAACTGTAATGGGATTGTCTCTGGACATCCAAGTGCACCATCTTAATCTTGATGCACATTTTGTGTGTTTAAGAATTCAAAATCTCTAGTTCTGGGATATTTTTCCACATAAATATCCTATTGATTAAGACTTTGTTTGAGCAACTTGATTAAACTTTTAGTTTACTTCTGCTTAACTGTTTCACTTTGAGATGAAAAGCTGGTGTTTGGTATAAGTAGATAAAGACTTTTCCAAGAGCTGTATCTTGTCATAACTCTATTGCTTAATAAAGAACACTTCTAAATCTATCTTAAAATATATTTGAACATTTGCAATATGATACATACCAAACTGTTTAATACAACATTGTTAATATCCTAACAGATACTAGAAACAACCTAAATGTCCATTAGGAGAGGACTGAGTAAATAAACTATAATAAAATTTGTGTTCTGTATAAATTATTCACTATTAATATTTATGTACTAGTGTATAAAATGTACCCTTAAATATGCTGTCTCTAAAAAGGCAGGGAGTAAAAGAAAAACAGTTCCAGAAGCTAAACAGTTGGAGGCCAAGCTGGAAAAGATGCTTTTTTACACTGTTTACCCTTATAGTTTTGAATTCTGTTCTGTTACCTATTATTTATAGATAGATACACATATATTATAGATAAATAGAAGTAAGTTAATTTTCAAGCCTAAAAAGTACCTGAATTACATTACTTTATCAAGTATATGCAAGTGTTTGTAAATGTCCATTTTAGGCTCTTTGCTAGCTTCATTGCCCTTTTTATTCTCTTGCTGTTTGGACATTTTGATCTACATAGCTAAGGAGCTAAAGCTTTGAATCATATAAAAATCCAAATGAACACTGTGTTTTCTGAATTGGGTTTGTTTGTGGTAGGTTTATGCCGGACCTCATATTAAGCTTGTCTTATGCTTAAAGTTAATTCCCTATTTAAAAGATACGTTTCTACTCTCACACTGCTTCCTAAGTTCCTTGCTTTCTATTATACTCAAAGCAGTCAAATCACTATTTCACCATATTTCCCTATTTTATGTCCCTTTGTCAAAAGAAGTAATCAATGAACTAATTTTTTGAGGTATTTGCAATTTGTTTTTTCAGATAATAAAACACAAAATGTTGGGAAAATGTTTAGTGCCAGAAAATACCACAAACTCTTCAGAGTGGAAACAGGGAAATGTTCTATGTTTTTTGTAGCTTAAAAGGGAGAGGGTAGTTGACTCAAGGAAGAATAACAATGATTTAGAAGTGAACCATTCCTGAACTCAAATGTTAGTTCTACTACTTATTAGCTGTTTGAAAACGACAAGTTATTTACACTCTACAGGCCATGTGCAGCGGTGGTGTTAAGGATCTAACTTATCTCATAGAATTGCTGTGAGGTCTAAATGAGAAGTATGTGGCATAGTGCTTCGCAGAAGCCCTCAGTGGGTGATAGCTGTTACATTATAATCCACTGACATCTATTCTAGTTCCTCCTTTTAGTGATATAATATTAGACAAGTAACTCAACCTTTCTAAGCTTCTCATTTATTTCTTCTCTGTAAGATGGATACGGTGGCCAATCTGTAGTGTTTTTTTGAGGATTAACATATACTTAACATGATGCCTAAGCTGAATAAATATTATAACCGTCTTTTAATCACATATCCTTTTAATCAATTTCAGTGTTAAATATTATTTGATTTATTCAACTGTTTTCATTGCATTTATTTTGTATTAATGTATATTTGAGAATTTAGCATTTATATTATATTAAAATACATTTGGTTTTGTTACAGTTTGTGAAAGAAACAGACAATGAAGTAAGAATGCGACTATTGCAGTTTGTCACTGGAACCTGCCGCTTACCACTAGGAGGATTTGCTGAGCTCATGGGTAAGTGCAGTTTTTCTGTAGATAGTTTTGTATTGATAATGGCTTTTAGACATATGAACTTAATAAACCTCAGGATTACTATTATGGGTTTCTTATAAAAAGCTTTTAATATCAAAATTGTTTATAAGACAAAAATGTGTCTCTTTATATAGCCCACATGGCCACTACTTTGCTTCCTGGGCTGATTGTGAAGGGAGTAAGAAGCTATAGAAATCCTAATCTTTGCTGGGCATGGTGGTACACACCTGTAATCCCAGTGACCTGGGAGGCTGAGACAGGAGGATCAGAAGTTCAAAGCCAGCTTCAGCAAAAGCGAGGCGCTAAGCAACTCAGTGAGACCCTGTCTCTAAATAAAATACAAAATAGGGCTGAGGATAAGGCTCAGTGGTCAAGTGTCCCTGAGTTCAATCCCTGGTACCACCTCCCTCAAAAAAAAGAAATCCTCATCTTTATGTGGTATAATTCTTAACTGCTAAATTTGCAGCACCAAGAAGCTTCTAATACAAAAGCAATGTACACTATAAATCTCTTCTTTAAGTTTATACTGTATTATTCATATGTCTACGTGATATGTTCTGTATTTAACTGTTGTCAGAATCAAAAGTGTAAAGGACCAGATAAATATTATACTGTTTTCCTGGTTTAGGAAGTAATGGGCCTCAAAAATTTTGTATTGAAAAAGTTGGAAAAGATACCTGGTTACCAAGAAGCCATACATGGTAAGTTTAAGAATCCTGTAACAGGAAGATAAAAGTCAGAATATTTTGCTTTTTAAAAATATGTATGATTCTGTATAATATATTATTGGTCAGAATTTCAGTTTTGATAACAGACCAATTAATACAGCATTCTCCAACTAAACATGTGAGAATTACTGTTTATTAGTTAATACAAATTCTTGAGAACTGTTTCCATTCATTCAACAAATATTTATTTTTTTTATTTTTGTTTTTTGCTATAAAACATTAGATGCCATATTTCTTTATTCTTATGAAAGAATAAGCCAATGAATATTTAAATGAATGTTTTTTATCATTCACAACTAAACATTTTGTGTACTTGTACACAATTTTACATACACATGAAATATCTATAGTACTTTTTGCTTTATTTCTTCATAAGTTTTTAAATGAGCATATCTGGTTTTTCAAATCTGGGTTTGAAAAACCAGATATGCTCATTTAAATATGATAAGACAGAAAAAGAATGTGTTGAAATAACTCATCAACAAATATTTAGAGTATTGAAAGTAAGGCCACATTGTTCCCTACCTTTTGTGAACTTTACACTCCATGGTAGGGCACAAGTGACAAACAGGTGAACAGATATGTAACTATGGAAAAAGAATAGCCAGAGGGGTCCTGCTCTGGATTGGGTCATTAAGAGGTTTCTTGGAAAGGGTAATGTTTGAGTATAATAAATAGTATGCTGTAGGAAGAAATTGGGGAAGAACATTCTTTGAGCCAGTATGCTGTGGAGTGAGCAAAAACCCTGAAGTAAGAAACCATTTCATTACAAGGAAATGAAAGATGTCTGGTGTGATTGGACTTGGTAAGTCAGAGATGAAAAGAATTTGGAAATATAAGTAGGGGCTAAATTCAAATGGAGCATTATTGCTTATTATACAGAATTGAGATTCCATTCTAAGGAAAATTAGAAGCCTTTAAAGAGTTTTAAATCGCAAGTAATGGGATCGAAGAATCATTTGGGAAATAGGTTAGAGATGAAATCAGATGTACAGGTGAATGCAGGGAAACTAGCTATAGCAATCAAAGCAGCTGAAAACAGGAAGCTAGGTTCATTGAACTTTCATCTTTATGAGACACTGAAATTTTTTTTTTTTTTTTACTGAATCTTCATCCTTGAGTTATGTCCAATAGTTGTGTCATAAAATACAAAGTCTGCATACTGCACTTCTGCATACCAAAGAATGGTGGTTTTTCTTGAAGGAGAGCTCTTGGGTAGTTGTTTTGAAATTAAAAGCTGGACTAACTTGCTTTTTTTATGGAATTTATTTTTATTTCAAAGAATGGCAAACAAACCATGTTTATTCATTTGGGTATTGGCATTTTCTTGAAAACTAATGAAGTAAACTTATCTCACTTCAAGGAAAGCAACAGATATTTGTTGACAGTGATAAAAGTTGAAGTTTTGAGTAAAAATAAAAATTCTGGAAATTTTGTATATGCCATCATAAGCTTAACTACTTCCCAAGACTGGTAAGATTAGTGGTGTTATTAGTAAAAATGGATTTTTTTTCTATTAAAGTGACCCAATATTTAGCAATTTAACATAACCAGTGCATATTACACAATCATGCCTGGGTAAAAGATCTATTCAGGGTGTGAGAGAGACCGGTGGATTTTTTTTTTTTAATACTTATTTTTTTTGGTGTAGATGGACACAACACAATGCCTTTATTTTTAGGTGGTGCTGAGGATCGAACCTAGGTCCCACCTGTGCTAGGCGAGTGTTCTACCACTGAACCACAATCCCAACCCAAGAGACCGGTGGAATTTTTTTTTTTTTTAAAAGAGAGAGAGAAAGAAAGAATGAATATGAATCTTTTTTTTTTTTTTTTTGTAGATGGACACAAACACAATGCCTTTATTTTTATGTGGTGCCGAGAATCAAACCTGGATCGCGCCCATCCTAGGCTAGCGCTCTACCACTAAGCCACAATCCCAGCCCGACCAGTGGATTTTTAACAAAGTATTCTTTGATATGGTTTCAGGACCCATGTTGTCCATATCTTTATCAAATATACTATTAAGGAATTATCCATTTATCTGAAGATGATTATAATACATCTCCATTTTCTAACTGCTTATCTATGAGATAAGACTTTCATATACTTGATTCAGATTTTCATATGCTTAATCCAAAATAATATAGTATGATCCATTGACTACAAGATGTTTTCTTTTTCTTCTTTAATTTTTTTAAAAAATTATACATGGACACAATATTTTTATTTTATTTATTTTTATGTGGCACTGAGGATTGAACCCAGTGCCCCACATGTATGAGGCAAGTGCTCTGCCACTGAGCCACAACCCCAGCCCCCCACCCCGCACAAGATGTTTTTTATTAGATCAGATATTTTAAAAAAAGATTTGTAACACTGTAAAACAATGTCAGTCCACTGGTTTTTGGAAATAGTCATTGCATTCATTGCTTATTTAATAAAAATTAAAATTAATATTAAATTGTTTTTAGTTCCGTGGTAAATATTGATAAATATAATTCACATAAACAAAAGCCCTTTAGAGTGAAGAGTTCTTGTGACCAAAAACATTTAAGAACCTTTGGCCTGGATTCAAGGAGCAGATCCAATAGAGGTAGAGATTGCTGAGGTAGAGGAGTTAGAAAGATTTTAGATTTATAAAGAGAAAATAGTTATCAACATTTGGTTTTTCTGTATTTTCAAAATATAAGGTGAGGTCACTGGATAAGAATGAAGAAAATAAAATCTTCTAAGGAGAAAGAATTGGGCATTTCAGAAAAGAGAAAAGTATTTATTAGGCCGAATATTGGGTAATTGGATTGCTCAATTGGATTTACTACTTTATTTTAAATGACAACAATCTACCAGATTGTGTGGGTTTTTTTTCCCCCCAAGCAATTTTTTTTAAATATTTATTTTTTAGTTGTAGTTGGACATGATATCTTTATTTATTTATTTTTATGTGGTGCTGAGGATTGAACCCAGGACTTCACTTGCTAGGCAAGTGCTCTACTGCTGAGCCACAACACAAGCCTTCCCCAAGCAATTTTTAACTGTTAAGGTGCAAGGAACAAACAGAAGGTGGAATTCATTCAGGATTTGAGTTTTGATTAGTTAATTCAAAAGAAGGAGATACACAGTATTTAAAACTATTTGCAAAGTTGTGATTATAATAATGGATTAAGATCTCTAATTATAATGACGTTCTGCAGATAAAGATAAAAGTGAGGACAGAAGAGCTGAAGATGGGATAGGATGGTGAAGTAATAATGGGTTAATAGGCTGGCATTTTCATTGACCATTTTTCTTTCCAAATTATTTCAGAGAAAAAGATTTTTTAATTAAAAATGTACTGGTGGTGGTTAGGTTCAAGTTATGATCCTAGGGTTAGTAACTCAAAAAGCCAAAAGACCAAGGAACTTGATGGCCATATTGTTGCGTGTATCCATGTAAAAGAGAGGATTATGCCCCCAGGTGCCAGAGCTCTCAGTAAATGAAGGAGCACAACCAAGCAATCAGCAGGTAGGCTATACAACTATGTGCCTCAGAACAGGCTAGTTTTATTAACTGGCTACAGAAGAAATGGCATGTTTCAGACTTACTGGATTTCAGTTATGATAAGAAGCTATTGAGACTCTGAAATAGAAGTTCAAAACAATAAGATGAAAATATGAAATGGTAGACAGGTTGAGTTTAATTCAAACCAAGGGAAATAGATCAGTATTGAGATGAGCATTTGGGTGAAAATATACGATCTATGCTGGTCATGGTGGCACATGCCTATAATTGCAGCAACTTGGGAGGCTGAGGCAGGAGGATCCCAAGTTCAAAGCCAGCGTCATCAACTAAGGGAGGCCCTAAGCAACTTAGTGAGATCCTATCTCAAAATTAAAAAGGCTGGTGATATAGCTTAGTAGTTAAGCACCCTGGGTTTAATCCCTGGTGCAAAAAAAAAAAGGGAAATATATGATCCAGAAAGACTTGGATTTTTATCAGTGACTGTGGTAAGCACTGATTTAATCTGTGATGAAATTAGTCTTAATGATTCTCAGATATAGAGAGGACACAGGGTCCTACTGTTGTCATCTCCAGTGGTTTGTTTTGAGAGGTAGGAGCTTTAAGCTTTCTGAAAGCTATATACAGTTGGTAAGCCAATTAGCATACAGTTCCTTCAGATGAAATAGATGCGTTGGTCAGTCTCTTTTTTATAATACACATCACACTAAAAAAAAAAACAGAATTAGAACTTAGTACTTACATATTTACATAATAAGTACTCAATAAAAGATGAATGGATTTTATTAAGTCTCTGTCCTGTAAAACATCACAGCTGGGCATAGTGGCTTATGCTTCTATTCTCAGGAATTTGGGAGGCTGAAGGTAAGGAGAATCACAAGTTTGAAGCCACCAAAAAATAAAAGGGTGGGAATATACAGCCAAGCACTAGGTCCTGGGTTTGATCCCCAGTGCCCCATACATACCTTAAATATAATCAAACAGCACAAAACATAATGACTAAGATCTTAAAATAGAAACTATTTGGTATTTTTTCAGATTATCTGCTTTCTTAATGTTCTTCAGCTTAACACTAAATATCTGCAGTATGCATATCAGATCAGTGTTTTAGGGATACAGAGCTAGCTGATGCTACCCTTGTAGATTTTAGAGTCTAAGGAGAGAAACCAGTTAGTTGAAAATAAACACTAAAATAGAAATAAAAAGAGCTCATGGATAGGCAAAAGATGCTCTAGGTAAACTTCTTGGACGAAGCTGTAACGTCTGGGCTGATTCTTGATGAATTAGAATTTCATAGGCTGAAAAGGATATTATAGACCAGGAAACTATTACAGCATAGAAATAGAAAAAGAAAAGAATGTGCTATACTTAGAGAACATTAAATAAGTTGATGGAGGCTATACTAAAAACAGGGTAGGCTTTTTTTCTGTCATTCTACCCCCTCTGTTCCCATAGCTTTTTTCTCTCATTCTACCCCCTCTGTTCCCATAGCTATTTGAGGAGATAAAGGCTTTTAAAGAGTCCAAAAACTAGTTTGTGAGTCCAAAAACGAGTTTGTTTAGCAGAGTATTTCTGACTAGACAGAATGTTGAGAAGTAAATTTAAAAATAGGGATATCATCAGTAGATATTAGGGAAATGCAAATTAACATTATAATGTAACACAACATAGCATTAACACGACCAAATTAAAACAACAATGAAAAGATTAGCAACATTATCTGTTGGTGAATTTTCCTTCTTTGTAGGTGGGAGTATAAACTGATATGCTTCAAATAAAGTTAAACATGCAGATATCATTATAAACATGTACATTTATGTGTGTATACCTATAAATGGTAATTCCATTTGTAATTATTTGCCCAAGAAGTAAAACAGGTGTCTGAAGAATTTTTAAAGGGAAAAAAAAATTGAAAACGTCACTAAAGCTTTACTCACAATAGCTTAACAAAATGGGGGGGGGTGTCAGATAGGAAGGCAGGAAATTCTCTAGTGATTCAAATAAGAGATATACACAGGGATGTAGTGGCAATAGAAATGATAAACAGGGAGAAGATAGAAGAAATGAGAGAATTTGGCAAAAGCTGTATATATAAATTATGGAAGAGAATTAGAAAGGAACAGGTTGCTTTGGTTATAAGATTATTGAAATGATATTTCTTGCTGACTTCAATCATTATCAGATACTTTTATAATTTAAATGGGAGGGCAATATATGGTCTGCTTATACTAGGAGAATAATATGGTCTGAGAACCATGCTATTTTAGTCTGTTGCTTCCTTTTAAAGGCTCTTTTCAGCTTTCCTAACTTACATGGGAGGGGAAATATTTCCACATGAGGAAGGGAAATTACAGAAAGGCTCTAATAGAGGGGGAACCAAAACTTTGGATACTGAAATCCTAATATAGCTAGTCAGTGCCATGTTCTAAAATATTAAATGTTATCCTTCAGAAACAGTACGTTGTTATTTTAAGCATTTTCAATATTTTTGTTTTTCATCATTTTGTCCCAGAAAGGAATTGAATCTGAGCAGAACTGAAAGTGTCATTATAGAAAAGGTTATAATCTCATTGGTGAAACTTGAGAAAACTATATATTTGTTCATTGACTATCTCCACCCCAGAACATAAAGGACTTTTTTTTTATCATCACTATATCACTAGCATATGAAGATTCTCAATAAAGAATGAATGAGTGAAAGAAATGGACTATTACAAGAGAACTTAGGGGGACTAATGACACATAGGAGTAGTAAAGAGAAGATTAATGATTTTTTTTTAAAATTCCAGAATCTTTATCCACATTGCTATAGTCAACATAATCCTATTTTTCTCTGGGAAAAATTAATTTTTAAAAAAATATAGGTCTTAAATTTGAATGGATTCCTCTAAGATATCTGAATATCCTAATATCAATAGTGAATTGTTAGAATACGTTTGGCAAAATTTTTACATACATAACATACTTCTCTTCATTCAGCTTTTCAGTGTGTTTTACTGTATTGGAAATATTTTCAGTTTATTTTATTAAAAATATATGATTTTGTTTTTGTTTTTGTTCAGTTTTAATCGCTTGGATCTACCACCATATAAGAGTTATGAACAACTAAAGGAAAAACTTCTTTTTGCAATAGAAGAGACAGAGGGCTTTGGACAAGAATGAATGTGGCTTCTTATCTTGGAGGAGCTCTTGCATTTAAATACCCCAGCCAAGAAAAATTGCACAGATGTGTATATAAGCTGTTCATTCTGTACAGTGAATTTTCTGAACCTCAAAAGTATAAATGTTTTCCGTTCTTCCACAGAAATATGCAAAAGTTCATCATTTTCTACTTTATTTATTGTTCCCTTGAAATGACTGACCAGGAAAAAGATCATCATTAAATTTTGAAGCAAGCAAGAGACTTTATTAAATATAAGAAGTATATTATCTATATAAGCATATATGATAGTGGCTCTAGTTCTATAGAGCCCCAAGTGTATTAAACATGACAGCTGTTCATTCACAAAGATCTGAATTTGCTTTACCTTGTTTCTATTATCCAGGGGAAAAGTGCAAATTGCTCCATGTTCTCCCTTATGTAACATCTCCTGAGGGTGTTTAGTTGCATGGCTGTTCAGGAAGGTATTAAGGGCTTAGGCCAAATCTTACTTTGAGTATACAAAAAAATGCTGCTGGCTTTTTTGAAGACAGGTGCTTGAACTTGTCACTTTGTTTTAAAATAAATACAATAGTTGAAAAAATTTCCACTCTTTGCTTACATCAGTAATACATTGAGTGAAATCATAACTAACATAGAAGTCACGTACTAGATCCAATAACATTTAGTTTGTTACAGAGATTGGAAAAAATTCATTGAGCAGCATAGAGATTTGTTTACATGTTACTTTGAGATGCTAGGTATTTGTGAAATTAAAAGAATCAGCCACTTACGTACTTCTGTTTTATAAATCTGTGATGTTCAAATTTAATAATAAACTAATGCAGCTTGATACTTAGGAACATATAAAAAGGTAACTTGAACTTTGGCACTTTTGTGTTGAAAGTTTTGGTTTTGTAAAACCAGAGGCATTGAATAAAACCGGATGCATTGAAAAGTTACATAAACATTTGAACACTCAAATAGGTGAATAATGATTTTTTATTAGTGTTTGAATATCTTCATTGCTCTCAAATTCATGAAAGTTCTATATCTGAATTACAATAAGCATGTAAAAATCTTCACTCAGGAGGACATTTACTTAACTACAAAAATACAATATCCAATGTTAATATTGCTTTTAGCAAACTGGGCTTCCTAATAAAATCAAAAAATTTTCAATTTGTATCATGCTTTCAGTATGCACCAGAAATTTCATTAACTCAGATTATTTTATAATATTGGGAAATGACTTATTTGAATGTGCTGCCTGTAAATATTCCACCATAAGTGCATATGGGAAACACTAGTATACAGTCTAACTTCATATATACTATATACTAGTTTTTGTTTTGCCAAAATTTTAATTTTTCTAATATTAGCTTATATTCTGCTTTTTTTTTAAATTCAGGAATTCACAGTAAAGATGAAATAAAGGCAGTGACTCACATAGTTGAAGACTCATTTCCAAATCCTAACCAAAAACATGCTGTTTTTTTTCAAATCTAAAGAATTATAAAAAAAAAATTAATGGGGCTGGGATTGTAGCTCAGCGGTAGAGTGCTTGGCTAGCACGGGCGGGACCCGGGTTCGATCCTCAGCACCACAGAAAAATAAAGGCAGCCCATCTACACCTAAAAAATAAATACTAAAAAAATTTAATGTATGACAAGCTATGAAATACAGGGTGACCAGTCCCTCAAAAGGACTTATTAAATCATTCCAGAAAAAGACACCAATGGTAGCACTGTCACATGAACTAAGAAGTTATTGACTACCATTCAGCAGTGATCTCTGAGAATATAATTTAGCAGATTTGACTGAAGAAGGTGGCATTCAGCTAGTTTCAGGGAGCCGCTCCACTGAGTAAGAGTTAACTATACAATAGGTAAGGCTACAGAGATCAAACCAGCTTACTGGAGAAGACTAGTTTGGAGACCTCAGCAGGACCTTTAGAGGCAATTATAGATACCAGATTTACAAACAAACCGTCTTATCTACTTAGTGATAGTCATGGGAAAAAAAAAAACCACACATACAAAAATGTGGCCTACATCTCTTACCTGTCTCCTCCCTTATCATCTGTTCTGAGCTGGACCAACCAGAAAGAAATTAAAGGTATTTAAGGCTCCCTGTGCCTGAACACAACTCATGAGGAAATGGGAGAGAAAGAGGGAGTTCAGAGGCCATCTCACATTGTTACTTCATTTTTGTGGCATTTCCCTCCACCACTAATAAACTGAACCCAGAAATGAGTCACAGATCCAGCACAATCCCAACAATCAGGTCAACTGTCTTCCAAGAAAGAAACTGTCAATCAATGTTTACTTTTTCTGTACTTCCTTCTAACGTTAACCTTTACCGTACTGACTTAAATTATTCGCCTAACTCTTCTTACCCTGAAAACTAGATAGGATGGTGATATGTTAACAATATTGCCAGGTAAGTTTAATCTACTAAAAATTACTTCAATTGTTAAGTTGTATCCATAACTCATAGAACTCTAGATATGAAATAGGAAGTTCTACATATGTGCTTCCTTGCATGTGGAACTCTTGAAAGTACATGTCCCTTTTGAGGACCCTGAGCCGTCATTTGGAGAGATGATGGTTCTTAGAAAGTTTTTGTAGGTATTCTATACAGATTATTAGAATACCATCTCAGATGAGACCCAACATGGCCCTGCTGGTCAGTTGTGGTTCCTGCGTTAATGCTGAATAAAATAATGCTGACCGAATTTGGCTTTACAGTTGACTGAACCTAAAATGATCTAGATAATTCAGAAATAAAGCAAATTTATTAAAGTATGCGATTGTGAAAATAAAAGTTCTAGAACACTCCCCCCTTAGTCTGTTGAACTTAGCCAAGCTTGAGGCCAACTCTTCTAAGTTCAAAAGTGGCATGTCCTGAATTCCAAAATTTCTCTCCCCTGTCTCAACCAAGGAAAATACAGGTGAAAATTTTTTAAAGTACTTACTAATACTCATTATAAATCTTAGATGAAAAGTATAATCTTAATTTTCACAACTACACGAGATTGGTATTTTTGTTTTAATGATGTTTGCTTTATAGGTGACATCAGTGAATCTGAGAAGTCATTTTAGAACATTCATAGCTAGTCCCCAGTCCATAATTAGAAATTCAGTTGGAAAAATTTCTTGGTCAAGAAGTGAGAGTCTCAGGTTTTTACAGTATCATGGCCACATTTTTCTAAATTCAAGTTTCTTCACATATCCTCAAAAGGAAGGAAAAAAAAAAACATAGGAGAGGTTATCACAGAGGTTATAAATTCTGTAAACCAGTATGTGGAGAAATAAGCTTCTCAAACCAGCATATTCATCTCTGGAATGCATAAAAGAATATTCAAGTGGAGAATGCACAGGAAAGAGAATGTAATGGACTCCAGACATAGTGTCTCACTCCATCCTGAATAAGGAAACATCAAGAAAAAGTCAGGATCCTGGAGTCAAATGGAAAACTTTGAAAGTACCCAGAATCAGAAATATGGAAAGGCATCACATCTTAGGGAAGGAAGCTATTCTCAAGTAATGTGGAAAAGGAAGTTAAAAGCTCCTTAAAGGACCTACCAACCACACTCTGGAGATAAAATTAATGTTGATAAAAAAACTTACATGTAATGTTCATAGCTATATTTTTAATACCTAAAAACTGGAAAAAGCCTAAGTGTCCTTCAACGAGTCGTTAAATGAACTGGTACATCCATATAATAAAATATGCATCGACACCAAAAAGAAACTACAAATAGAACTTGGATGGATCTCAAAGAGTGGAAGAGGATAATCTCAAAAGGTCCCATACAGTGATTCCATTTGTTTGACATTCTTAAACTATACATACAAGTAATTCTTTGACAAGTAAAATCTGAATAAGGTCTGTGGATTGTACCAATGTCAATTTCCTAGTTTGGTGGTAGAGTTATTCAAGATCTATAACTACAGTGGATCTTAACTATACCACTGAAAGAAGAGTACATAGGTCTCCTTTGTACTATTATGAATCTATTAATTCTTTCAAAATAAAAATCTATTTGAAAGCTGTATCAAGTATCAGAATATATATGCTCCCATCCATAAAAGGTTTTGTTAAAGTTACCCCATTTCACAAAACAACTTATTGCAGGTGTGTATGTGCGTGCGTGCACTGGAGGGAATGACCCAGGGTCTTGTTCATGATAAGTACATGCTCTACCATTAGCTACACTCTACCCAGTTATTCTTGTACTATCCCAAACCCTCCCAAATTCCTAGTATCGCTGTTAACAAATACACACACACGCTCCTAGAAAAATACATCCAAAGTCATTGAGAAAATTGAAAAAATAATTAGCAAGTATGAGGACCCCAGCTCTGGAAAAAAAGATAGAAGGGAGAAAAAATTCTAATTTTAAAATTAACACCATATTAATTAATTAATTAATGTTAAAATTAACACCATATGTTAATATGAATTGAGTTGCCATTATGGGGGAAAAAACCTGAATTAGAAATTTAAAAACTCAGAACTGGACAAACATGAAGATGTGAAATGACTGTGGATTAAAACTGGGAAAAACTGAAAAACATACAAAAGCATCTCAGAAGTGAAAAATATAAAGTGTCTGAAGAAGAATATATAAAATCAAAATATAAGGGATATGAAAAACAAATGAAAAGAGCTAAGAAAATGAAACAAAAATCAGGATGAATATAAAAATCAGGTAATGACTGAAAAATAAATATAATTAAATGGAGTCCCTGAGATAAGAATGAACAGTATTTTCAAAGTGAGGCCAATGGGGTCAATCTATTTGAGCCAACATTGATAAGAACTTTGTCTTCTACAAAACGTCAATGTTATGAGAAGAAAAAGACTGGGGAAATGGTCTAGAATAAAAGCAACTAAGCAGCAAATCAAATGCAATGTATGGCCTTTGGTATTGGTTTTGAAAAGTACATTTTTAGGCATTTTTAAAGTATAAGATATTTGAGAAAATCTGAACATGGCTATTACACAGGTTGGCTCCAAGATACACCACTTAACTACCTTAAACCAAGAACCCTAAACAATTCTAATCATTTGACTTTTAGTGCACCTTCTCTGTAAGATTGCAACTCTGAAAATCAAATCCAACTTGAAAATCCACTCCCCTATATGCTACCTCTTTCACAAAACTCTTTTCTTGATACCTTCTCATCCTAGTATTTAGAAATCTTATACCATTTTACAACGCTGATGTCCTAAGATACAAAATAATCTCTGAGCCATGGAAATTTATTGCTACCACTCTTAGGACAATATGGCAATTACTACTTTTACCTTGTTATTTGTGAAGAAACCTAGAGTTTTGTAAGTTTATTCTGTTAAATGGTCACGACATTAGAAGAACTGAAAAGTCATAAAACAGTTATGATTAACATTATAAATAAAAGAAAAGGCAATGTTTATTGGGTATTTCATGTATTTTCTTCTCTGAAAGGTCTCATTTCTTTTCACAAACCTGTAAGCAACTGAGTAGCTTCTGTTTGTACCTAGAATGGAAAAATACATTATAAACAAACAGTACAGCTTAGAGAATGTGAAATTGAAGTAGACTCATTTCTAAGAGTTTCTAAAAACTGGGATAGATGATTTTAAGAATAAAATTTCTTGACAGGAATGATTGGATAAGACTTGAGAGAATTCTTTCACATTAGTACATATTCCTAGACTTTTATTGTAGTAAAAATGTATTTGATCTGTATGTCAAAGGTAGTAATTCTTTATTGCACAAAGCAACAGCTAACATTTATTTGGTGATAGTACCTAAATAGTTACTATGTAGAAACGAACATACTGTAAATAAATTCACATTTGAAGTGAATACTACTGTGTTTTCAACAATGTTTGCATTTAGACAATTAAAGTTCTTAATTCACCCTTATTTAACAATGCCTCAACGAAAATCGATCTACCTTACTACTACTACATTAGAGCTATTTTACCTGCTTATCTTCCTCTGTGTGTGCTGGATAGTCCTTGGCTTTCATTAGCCAGAAAGCAGCAAGCTTTTTGTTCTTTAATTTCAAGTATGTCTTTCCTAAAAGAAGCAAGTTTTTGCTGTAGAAGTTTGGATCCACTGTATGTAAGAAGAAAAAATACACTTAGGTCAAGAAAAATAGTCTTGCTTTTATTTTAAATGTTTAATTTTTTGGTACAATTAATAAAAATTTTATGGTCAATAAGTGATTAGACTAACTAGTATTCTCTTGTTCCTATCTCAAACAAGTATCTGTAAAATAATCAGGATTTACTGAATGTCTGCTATGCGCTAGGTACTACACTGCAGACCATATCATTTTCACAACAATTTTATAAAGTAGGTATCTCCATTTTCAGATAAGAAGCTGAAGCTTCTGACATATAATAATAACAGCAATTTTCTTTTTAAATGTCTTTTCCCTACTATATTCCCAAGTGCTTAGAACATGGAAAATAACATATTTAGGACATTTAGTAATCAGTGAATGAAAGCATGATATGTAAATTTGATCAGCCTTTTCTGACTGGCAGCTATACTTAGCTATAGAAATAGAATGAAAGTTTCTCTTCCTTTGGAATTTACAATGTAAAGGTGAAAAATGAACACATTATGTAAGAATGAAGAACTGCTTTACCAGTTAAAGATCAAAGTGCTACACAGAAGGGCTGAGGATATAGCTCAGTTGGTAGTGTCCTTGCCTCACAAGCATAAGACCCTGGGTTCAATCCCTAGCACCACAAAAACAAAGTGCTACAGAAAATCAAAGGAAAAAAGCAATTAATCTGAGAGATTATACCTGAGCTGATTTGGAGGATGAACAGGATTTTAACAGAAAAAGTGGAATGCATTCTTGGCTGACGGAATTTGTGATAACTTTTTCAATTTGAAGAAAAGAAGAATTAGGCTGGGGTTGTGGCTCAGTGGTAGAGTGCTTGCCTAGCATGTGTGAGGCACTGGGTTCAATTCTCAGCACACCATATAAATGAATTAATAAAATAAAGGTCCATCAACAACTAAAAATATATATATTTTAAAAAGAGAACATTTAAAAAAAAAGACAAGAATTATCAGTGCACAGGAATCCAAAGTTAAACTTTATTACACTGCTTAAATACTTTTGAAAAACTCACAATTGTGGGGTTGGGGCTGTGGCTCAGAAGTAGAGCACTTGCCTGGCATGTGTGAGACACTGGGATCAAAAAAACAAAAACAAAAACAATTGTATTGATGACCTGATTATTTTCAAATGAAAAAGTAAGAATCAGAGATAATTTACATTTTCAAATGTAATTTAAAAAAATTTTTTTAGTTGTAAATAGATATAATACCTTTATTTTATTTTATTTTTTTAATGTGGTGTTGAGGATTGAACTCAGTGCCTCACTCGTGCTAGGCAATCACTCTGCCACTCACTGAGCCACATGCCCCAGCCCCTCAAATGAAATTTTTAGAAAATGTTTTTTAAAAACCTATAATGATGAAACATTTGAACAAGTACATGTGTAGAATCTCAAACTTAATAAACACTGTTTTCTGAATCTTCTGATCAAATTTTATAGAAATATATTTACATTGCTTTTTATAGTGTATTTATGGTCAACTTACATTTACATCCCTTACTTTCATGTTGTTCGTATTAAAAAGGATTAATTTGTAGGATTGGCTTGTAGCAGTTAGGCTAGTGATTTTTTCAAAATAAAAAAACAAGAAACACTTTTCACAAAGAATATTCTGCAACTCAACAAAATCAGCCTGGTTTAAAACCAGAATTCCCATTTAAGTGTGTCCAATTTAACTGTATAATATCAAATAAAATACTTAACCTATCTAGGCATCCTCTCAAAAGAAAGGCTGAATTACATTAAGAACCATTCCTGAATCACAGCTCTAAATTCAGTAGTGGTATTTTTCTTTTTGTTTGAGAAAATTAGATGTCCCAAACCAGTAATCATAACCAAAATACAAAAATTTCAAGATAAACCTGACTTTCAAAATGAAATCAGATCCTTGTAATAGAAATTGCCCGACAGTTTTTTTCTTGCACACAAACAACATCACTTTGCAAAATGCTTACAAAAATACAGTATACACAGAAATAAAAAATAAATAAATAAAAAGGCTCAGCATAATACCCAGCAATAGCTTATAGAAACAGAAGCTTCAGTTGAGACATGGTCCGTAAACTATTCCCTATCTGGCCCCAAAAGACAACCCCAAAGTCAGCTGGCTCTTGAAAACAGAACAGCTTCTTTCAAAACTTCCTCTGGAGTTCTTTGAGGCCAGGAAGCAACGTCAGAAACCACTGTAGTTTGGAAGGTAGCAAGCAGCTAGTGTTCTGAAGTCACAAATAGTGCTTTCCTTTTCCCTCCCAGTAGTGACATTTTCTTTTTCAGGTGAGCTTCATTAACTAAGGACTTAAAAAATTTAGCCAGGCATTATAGTGCACACCTGTAATATCAGAAATTCAGGAGACAGACAGGAGTATCACAAATTATAGGCCAACTTCAGCAATTTAGCAAGATGATATCTTGAAGTAAAAAAGCAAAAAGGGCTGGGTGCAACGTCGAATGCCTGTAATCTCAGTGACTTGAGGGGCTGAGGCAAAAGGATTCTAGGTTCAAGGCCAGCCTCAGCAACTTAGTGAGACCATCTCAAAATAAAAAATAAAAAGGGCTGGGGAGGGGGCTCAGTGGTTAAATGCCTCTGGGTTCAATCCATTGTACCAAAAACAAACAAACAAAAAAACTTTAAAATTTGTTTTATGTCTTGTGCAAAAAATAGTATAACAGAATGAATAACTTATCTTTCTTTTTAAAATCCCTATTACATATTTAGCATTCATACAATTTTAATTATAGTAAAATGTGAAATTAAAAAATGTTACCTTGTTCTGCCCTATGAAAGTAGCCCAAGGCCTGTTAAAACCACAAGTCCAAAAAAAAAAAAAAAAAAACAAAGAAAAGAAAAAGGATTAAAGTAGACCAAATATTTTTAAAAAGCATTTTCTCAATAATCTATTCCTATACTAAATATAAGTCAGGAAGTAAATTACCTTAAAATAACGATCTTATTCTTCAACAGTGAGATTAACATAGACAAACTGAACACAATACTATTAAATCATCAGAGAATTAGCATATGTGGACCACTTCTAGTAATAATATAGTTGCTCTTGAGAATTTTGACCAAATTATCATGCACAGAAGAAAATCCATCATCGTTACTTGGCTTTTTGACCCTAGCAGTCCTACCAGTGACTTCTAGTAAAAACCATTTCAAAATCAAAAGCTGAAGATACTGAGCAATAACAGGTTTCACCAGTGTAATTGGTTTGTTTGGATTTTGTTTTTATAGTGCTGGGGAAAAATCTGGGGTCTTGCTTGTGCTAGGTATGTGTTTATCATTAAGTCACACTCCCAACTCCCATACCAGTGGCTTTTTTAAAAAATATTTATTTTTTAGTTGTAGTTGGGCAAAATACCTTTATTTCACTCATTTATTTTTTATGTGGTGCTGAGGATGGAACCCAGGGACTCGCGTGTGCGAGACGAGCGCTCTACTGCTGAGCCGCAACTCCAGCCCCCCAGTGACTTTTTTAAAAAGCCCACTGTGAATCTGAAATTCTCTGCTAATCCTTTTGTCCCACTTAAACTACTATTTCTACAGTGCATTATTTAAGGCAAGCACACTGGTATACTCCTGTAATTCTACATACGTAGGAGGCTGAGGCAGGAGGAACTCAATTTTAAGGCCAGCATAGGCATCACAGTGAGACCTGGTCTCAAAAAAATAAAAAGAACAAAGACAAAAAACCTATAATGCATTATCCAAGACATTTTGTTTCTCAAAAACATAAAAATTTGTTATAGTAGAGCTGACTGTATATATTTTTCCTAACAATGTATTCTTTTTAGTAATAATATTTCCCAGATGTATTCTAGCTATACATTTAAATATTCTTTACAACAAATTTATACTATAATTTGGTCCCAAGAGTAAAAAGAAAACAAACAAAAAAATGAAATAACAACCAAAACAACCTCCTAAGAGACAAGCACTAGAAGAACTTTCCAATTGCCTATTTCTTCATACTGAAATTTTTGCTTAACTCAAGATGTTTTCACAGGGCTGAGAGTGTATGTAGTTTAGGGGTATAGTACCCACTTAGCACACACAAGTTCCTAGGTTCAATCCTTAGCACCAAGCAAAAGCAAAAATAGAAGGATGTTTACCTAGTATCCCTTTCACATTTTAACAGGAAAGGCAAAAGGCCTTGAAAATAGAATATGAGGCTTTCATACTCTTTATTCTTATCAATTCAAACATGATCTCTATTTTCCTAAATGACTCTGTTGTTGTACAGAATACAAGCCAGCTAACAGCTGCTATATTTCTTCTATTTTTTGACTTTTATATGGTATAGCTTTCAAATAGAAAATCAAGGCAGATTTCAGCCATGAGCTATTTTATCTGACAATATACCAGAATTATCAGTTGCTTGCCTAAAAGGGGGAAAAAAGCACTCACCAGTCATGAATAATAAGTATAAGCCTTTAGAAACTTGCTCAAGTCCCTCACTGAATAAGATCTCCATGTGTGTGGACACTGTAGAATGGTGCTTTAGTTAAGAAATAGGTACTAACTTAACAAAGGACATCATACTACCTCCTCATAAGTGGAACTAGGAGGAGTTGCAAACAGCATTTTAGCAATTCTTCTTTGATACCAAGGCATTTCAGCAAATGTATAGCACCTAAGGGAAATAAAATAGCATTACACATTCAAATTGTATTTTTTTTTTTACTTAAAAAGAACTAAACATCAACAGTATTCTAAAAAAAAATTTATTGTACCTTTAATCATTTTGTATTTTACATGATATCCATTTGGTTAATATTCATACTAAATTATCTAGGATTGACCTGATCCATTAATTAGGGTATATTTTATAATTAAATATAAAAAGTAAGCAATAGTATAAGTAACGATGGTAACAATGTATCACTACCACTGAGTATTCATTTTGTTCCAGATAGTAGGCTAAATGTTTACCTCTCTCATCTATTCCTTATAACAAATGAGACAGGATCCTTACTCCTTTTTACAAATTAAGAAAATTCAAAGGAGTTAAAAAACTTACCCAAGAAAAATGACAAAATATGATATGCATGAACAACAATAACAACCAACAATTTAAATCCTTTTTTAAAGGGGTGAAGCAAACAACTGACCTTTACAACTTTCTGATAAAAGTGGAGGCGGGGAGAAGTTTTAGATCTTTGACTAAGGTCTAAATTTCTTGAGGCAGAGACTATATCTCATGTTTCTTAATAATGAGTGTACCTCTGTCATTAATCCTTGGTAGTTTAATATGTCCTTCATCCTGGAAAATATTTACTTCTATTTTAGAAGAGTCTGATATAGGACTATTTACATTGTTATCCCTTTTAAAGAATTTTTTTCCCCCAAATTGGGAATCAAACCCCAGGCTTAATGCATGCCAGACAAGCACTCTACCACTGGGCAACATCTCTAGCCCTACCTTTTCAGTTGATAATAAAAACAAATATTAAACTCTGCACACTATATCCAAAGGAAACAATGGCTAACCTGTCATCTCTATAGACTCTATATACCATATATGTCAGCTATATATCAGAGCCAACAAATATTTAACATATTGGTGTACCCTCATATCAGTGAAATAATAACCCATATTGGACACAAGATCACACTGAAATGGAAAGATTATAGTGTTTCCCAGATTAATCAAGACTATATTTAAGATATTTTGAAGATGCAAAGACTCTCTTAAGGTATCCTACTATAACAATGTAGTTAAGATTAATTCAATCACCATTTAACATAGTGAATTTCCCAAGAATAATAGTCTTTCCCAAGAAAGGGAATTTAGAGGTCTACAAAGAGTTTTAAGATCATTTTTAGTCTAAGTACATGTTTCTAAGTGACTTGAATAGCAGTGTTTAACATGATCATAATCAAATTTAGTCTGTTTTAACAATACATGGATTTAATATTCTGAACTCTGCTGAATGTTTTAAAATGTTTTATATCTTGTTTTGTATATGCTAAATATAAATTACAATAGTGGTAAATAGCACTGAAACATTAAAAAAGATTGCTTACCAAATACCCATCAGGTGAACTGAGGTGGCATCTTTAGGATTCAGTTCAATTGCTTTCTATCAAGAAATGAGAAAATCAACCATATTTGTTTTCTAAAAACCAGTAAACACCTTACTATACTGAAGAAGCCATGATTTAAAAAAACAAAACAAAACTGCAACCCTGTATTTTTATTCTTCTATTAGTCAACACTTTCTCCCTCCTCATTCTTTAAATGATTAAAATGTGTTCTAATACACTATTAATGACTTGTACTAAAGTTACTATTTTTAAGGTTCATAAACTGATAGTAGGATCTATTATGAGAAAACCAACAAAATATACAAATTAATCTAATTCTAAAAATTGTAATAATCTACAGCTCTCAATGCTTTTCCTCTTCTAGATTAAAAAAATAATTATAATAAAGACATCCTTTTATAGCAAATCCTAAATGAATACTGAATAAAAAGCATCCTTTCAAAAAGAAGAACTGAAAGTACATAATTTTGAATGTTTCCTTTATGCAAAGTTTATCTTCCCTTGAGGAAAATTTATTATTATTTATTCATAAAATATATTAACAGAATAATTATGTATAATATTAATGATATATTGATAAAATCTTCCCAAAGTCTATTACAATGTCAATTACTATAAAGTATAAACTAGATAATAACTTAAAAAAAATTATTAAACTTTTTAGCCATCACTATGCTGAAAACCTCACAGATTAATATTGAACCTAATTTTAAAATAAAGACTTTTTAAAAAAAATTAAGACTTCTTAGTTCATGCTTTTCTATAAACTTACATTTTCACTTTTGGTTTGGTGATAATAATTGTAATGGTTAAGAGTTGAGTTTCAGGGGCTGGGGTTGTGACTCAGTGGTAGAGTGCTCGCCTAGCATGCATGGGGCACTGGGTTCAATCCTCAGCACCACATAAAAATAAAATAAAGATATTGTGTCCACCTAAAACTAAGAAATAAATTTTAAAAAATATTAAAAAAAAGAGTAGAGGTTCAGAAGTCAGACTGCTAAATGACGCCTAACTGATTAACTTCATCAAGTTCTATATTCTGTGGCTGGGTTTTCTCTTTCATAAAAAAACAAACTGGCTGGGTAAGTATATCTAAGTGGTAGAGCTGTTCCTTGCCAACCATGCAAGAGTCCCTGAGCTTGATACAGAGCACAAAAAACAAACAAACAAAAAAAGAAACCACCTTTCATAGGGATGTGGTGAAAATTAAATTAGCCAGTAAAGTAACAGGAAGTGTTTAGTACAGTGATATCTTCTATCAACACCATCACTGTTTTCACTTTTCATAATATAATATCCAGCAGTAGTAGTGGAGCCAATTGCTAGAATAATGCAAACCAATGACTTGGCAGAAACCTTCCTTTAGTAATGTAAGAATCAACAGTTTAACATTTACTTCTTCAATACAGTGGTATAATTAATACCAAAACTATTTTATAGTATTTATAAATAAGTTATTCTCTAAGAGCCTTTCCCAACTAGAGTTCTGTTAGAAAATTAATTCCTAAAACAAAACATGATATGAGTAATTATTTTTTCCATTCTCCTAATGCCATTCTAGACGCCTGGGAAAAAATAAGCACACACAATGCATGCCTTATGGCATTTGGATTTAATTCTCTTATGGGAGGTGTTGAGGGGAGCTATTTTTAAGAAATCATTTTATAATCTTTTCCTGCCATTAGTGTGTCTTTCAAAAACTCCAAAAATGTTATTTTCTTGCTATTTTAGATATAATAATGGAATCCAAAATAGCAATAAGTAGTATAAATGATCATTTTAGTATGTGAATACTAAATAACTAAATATTATCTTTTTCATACTTTAAAATATGAGAGTTTATACAAAACATTAATTGGTTTTGTGGTACTGGGGACTCAACCCAGAGCCTCAATGCATTCTAGGCAGGTGTTTTACCACTGAGCTACATCTCCAGCCCTTTAGTTTTTTGTTTGTTTAAATCTTTACCTTCCCCCTCCCCCTTTTTTTTAAGCCACCCCCACCCTGCGTCCCCAGTGCTGGAGATGGAATTCAAAGCTTATAACAGCACTGAACAGAAACCATTAATGAAGCCTCAAAACAATCAAGCCCATTTTTTCCCTAAGGCCTGATTACCTTACACATACTAGGTTAAGTGGCCAACCCACAATCCCTTTGCTATTTTCTTTTTTCATTTTTTAAAGTTAAAAGTATTATGCTGGGTGCAATGGTGCATGCTTGTTATTCCAGCCACATGAAAGGCTAAGGGAGGAACCACAAGCTTCAGGAACTTAGAGACCCTGTCTCAAAATACAAAAAAAAGGGGGTCAGGGATGTAGCTCAGTGGGAGAGTAACCCTGGGTTCAATCCCAATATCAGAGGAAAAGAAAAGAAAAAGAAAAAAACAGTAAATATAAAATAAAAAGTATACCTAAAATATTCTCTGCAGTCTCTCTTTACCTACATTGAAAGTTATATCATGTATTTCTATGTCCCAAGGCAGAAAGTAATTAAATAACTTATCTAATTCCACTGAGATTAGTGTATTTAATACTAAATATTCAAAATGGTAAGTTACATCATTATCTTACATACCACTGAAAGAAAAAAACCTGCTGCCAATTATATCTTCAAATATCAAACAAATAAATGATTAAATTCTAAAATGCAAATTATTAACTATATCTACTACTGATGCCTGAACCAGAATCTAAGTTTCCTGACTCCATCCAGTTCAATGTTACTTTTTACTAGTAGTTATATAAACTAGGAATTGTTCTTTAGAATTTAATTAGATAGCATATCCAGCACTATCCCTTTGTTTTTATTCCTTGTTTTTCTCTTGTATTTTTTGAGGTGATTTACAATAACACAAAAGAAACTAATATGCTAAAATTCTGTATTAAATTTATTTAGGATAACAAGTCTTGTGTATATGTTATGAAATATACAAACTCATACATAATTTTTGTCAAAGGAAAAGCTTACTAAAAATAAGTGTATTAACTTTAGGGAAACTATTAAAATACATGCATAATATACACATAGAGCATAATCTTTAAATACAATGCTTACCATTGAGAATGGTATGTCAGTTGTGGTAGACTATTACATTAGATCATGCTTTCAGGTATTCAGGACCTTGTGTGACAAGTTCCGTTACTCAGAAACTGTGCTTGGCCCTGGCACTGGTTTTAGGTTGACAAAAAGTCAAGTGTAATGCAAACAGAAATTTAATAAGTTTGTACACTGGAACTTTCAGTTGGAATGCTCATTCTTGAAAGCCAGTTACCATTCAATAAAGAAGCTTAGGTTAGGACTGAGGATATAGCTCAGTTAGTAGAGTGCTTGCCTTGCATGCACAAGGCCCTGGGTTCAATCCCCAGCACCACCAACAAAAAAAAAAAAAAAAAAAAGAGAGAGAAGCTTAGGATACACCATGATAAAAAGACAAGTGGACAGGCACTCTCAAACATGAGAGGACATCTTAAACATTCTAGTCCCAGCTGAGGCTCCAGGTGACTACTGTCATCTAAATGACCTTAGCCATACTAAAGCAAGGCAGAAGCACCACAGTACTCAATTTTTTAAATCACAGAATTCTATGAATTAAACTGTCAATTGCTCTGGACCACTAAATTTTCTTTCTTCTTTCTCCCTTTCTTTCAAGATAGGGTCTGGTTGTCTGCCTAGGCTGGTCCTCGCTTAGGCTCAGGTGATTTCATTCCTCAGCCTCCCCACATAGCTGGAAATATGAGTATGGAACTTATAAATACCCAATTTTAGGACATTAAGTTTTAGATGGTTTGCTACATAATGTAATTGATAACACATAAATCTATTCAGAAAAATACTTTTTAAATTCATGAACTTGAGTAATTTGTCAGTACCTCAAAATGCTCCTTGATAATGTAGGCATTTGCAATTTTAACCTTGATGCCTTCATAATCTCCAACATCACTAATGCAGATTGCATACCACTGAAAGTAGGGGAGAAAAAGGTGTGAGAATCATACTCTCTAACAGTCAATTCAATAAAGAAAAATTTATTCCTCAAGGTCATTCTCATTTAACAAAAATATATTGAGCACTGTATTAACTATAGAAGAATATACAAAGAAAAGAGGATTTGAGGGATTAGATATGTGTCTAGGAAAGTATAATACAAGACAGAAAGTAGTGAATTATTTAACAAAATTGCCAATACAATGAGGAGACAATGAATCATGTCTACGGTCTGAGTAATACATTTAAAAAAACTTGTAATTAAATCACTGTTGATATATCTTGTCATACTCTTTTTGGGATTTGTCTTTCCTCCAACGTCTGGATTGTTACACTAGGAACAGCCACAATTGTCAATTTTGATATTGTCCCTATAGTTACAATTGATAGTTATCCAGTTGCAGAAATCGAGTTGACTACAAGTGTCCCACAGGACTTCAAACTCAGTGATTTAACCTCTTCCCATATGTGTGGCTCTGAATAAAATCACCTCTTATCAAGGGGGTGGGGGGGCTGTCTAGCTCAGTGGTCAAGCATACACCTAGCACAAGGCCCTGGGTTCCATCCCCAGCAACATACATGCATGCGCGCGCGCACACGCACACACACACGCGCACACACACACACACACACACACACACACACACACACACAAATCATTTCCTATACATTCAACCATAACCTAAATACAAAGCAAATGAAAACTTATGAATGATTCCTAATTTTCCCACTTGACTAGATTGGCATTTCTGTTTATTAGTAGTCATACTAGCAAGAACTGATGGCAGGAAGTATGATATCATTGGTAATTTCTATTTCCACATTTGTACTTTTTTTCATTTTCTAAAATGTCCACTGTAATGAGTTTGCATTTTTAAAGAAGTTTTATTTCAGGGCTGGGGCTGTGGCTCAGCAGTAGAGCATTCGTCTAGCATGTGTGAGGCCTTGGGTTCGATCCTCAGCACCACATAAAGATACACAAAATAAAGGTATTGTAGGCATCTAATACACACACACACACACACACACACACACACACACACACACACACACCTTAAAGTTTTATTTCAAATAGATAGTCTAGGAATGAAGGGACAATAGACTTACCCTCCTGCCTGAAACACTTAAAAAAAAAAAAGACTTTTAAATATATTGTATATCAGGCAACAGTAACACCTGAGAGATTAAAACAAAACAAAACAAAAACAACAACAAAAAACAAAGTTAGCTATGACTGCTCCATTTTACTGCCTAGAGAAGATTTCCAAGTTATAGCTCCAAGCGGGTAAAAACTTATAAAGCCTGACAGTTTCCGTACTTTGAGGAGATAACAGTGAAAGTCTGGGGACCCCCCACCCCCACCCCAACTGCTATAGTTTGCAGGATAAATAGGAAGGTGCCCAGGGCTACAACTCAAACTGTAGAAGGTACCTGTGACTACTTGGCATAATTAACATCAGGACCTGCTTGTGAATAAACTATCCAAGAATGGGAGAAGAATCACCCAAAAGTATTAGAAGCCCAGGGTTCCCTTAGGGCTGGGAATATCAGTTGTGGAAAAAATTAATATAGATCAAATATAATAGTTTCTCTTAGGCTCTAGTCCTACCTAACAAGCCTTAAGGCAACATCTAAAAGGATCTAATTATTTCTGCATAACACAAGCATGTTCCAGAATACACCTCGAGAACATATTTAGCAATATACACATATTTAGCACTAACAAAGTAAAATTCACAATATCTGGCACCAAGCATTAATCAAAAATTACTAGTAAATTCCTCAAAGAAGAAGGAAAACAAGACTAGTGAGGAAAAAAAAATTGAAAAATGACCCATAAATGACACAAAAGATAAAACTGATAAACCAAAACATTAAAGTAGTTATTATAACTTGGTTTCATATATTAAGAAGCTGGAAAAAAGGCAAAAATGTTTACTAAGTAAAAGTAAGATACTAAAATCAGATAAGTCATTTTAGAAAAGATTATTGAACTTGAAAACAAAACTATCCCAAATGGAACACTGAGAGGCAATAAAGTTGAAAAAAAGAAAGCAGCAAATAAACAAAGAAACAAAGAACAAATTGGTGAATTTTTGAACAATTTTATGTGAACAAATATAAGTATAGTTGAATCCAAGAAAAGAAGGAGTCAGAGGAAAAGAACCAAAATCCACCTATAAGAGGCAGAACAAGATGGCAGTGGAAGAAGATCCTCGAGAGATCATCTGCCCACAGAAATATCAATTTGAATAGCTAATGATGCACAGAACTACCTTCACAAGAGCTAGGGAAACCAAGTGAGAGACCATAGTTCATGGTTGTAACATAATAATAAGATGCACTGAAGAAGGAAGAAAGGAAAGATGTGCCTGTATTGTCGTCCTTCACACAACTTCAGGCAAC